AGCCAGCCTTCAGTCATGCATTTGTCTAACTAATTCTTAGTGGTCTTGCTGTGTTCCAAGCACTGTGCTAAACACCAAAACCTAATGGTAAAAAGATTAAACCCATAAAGAAGTTACAGTTTAGTAAAGGATAAAGACAAGTGAAAAGGCAATTAAAATGCAAAGGAATAACAGCTATAATAAGGGCACTGCAGTGCAGAGAGCTATGGAATCTATGAGAAACTATGAACCTGAATTTGGAGGCTGGAGGTAAGGGTAGGAAATGACAACTAAAGCCAACAGCAGTATGAAGAGGAATTAGCCGGGTGGGCATGTGTGTGGAACAAGTAGAGAGATTGTTCAGGGCAGAGAGAATGTGGTGCGTCTGAGGAACTTAAGTTTGGTAAAGCTCCTAGAGTAACCAGGGTAATGGATAAAGCTAAGTTATGCAGGACCTTATACATGCTATTCAGGAGTTTCCAAAATGAGAACCTATTAAAGGACTTTATGCACAGGGATTTTGCAGCCAACTTCATTTTTGAAAAATCACTGACAACAGGGTAGAAGATGCATTGGAGGGAAGAGTAAGTCTAAAATCAGAGCAACCTGTTGAGAGGACTTGACACTAATTCAGGCTAAGGTGACAGTGGCCTGGAGCACTTCGGTGACAGCTGGAATAGAAGAAAGTGGAGGAATTTGAGAGTTTGTAGGAGATAGAATGCAGGGCACTGTAGATGACTGTAACAGAGTGGGTTGTTAAAGTCAAAGTCTCAATAAAGGTGTTTGAAGGCATCCTTTCCGAAAAGCCATTATTATGCTGATTTCTTTGTTATTACCCATGGAGAGTGGCATTTCATGATTCCCTGTCTTTTCCTTTGAAACCAGTCTTTAAAGAGCCAATGTTGACGCTTTGAGAGTTTGTTCATTTCCTTCCCTGTCTTTGGTCCCATGAAATCACCTCATGGATCCCATGAGTGAAAGAATACTGTCACTCTATTCTTTCCCACCCTGACTCTCATGCGCACGGACTCCCAAAGGCCTGAGCAGGCCTCTATCCCATAGCATTTTGCTCTCGACCATCTGCAAAGTACAGGACATAACCTTATAAAGTCATCTTAGTGTTCATTAATAATGCCTTCTCAGTCGGTAATCCTCCTATTAGCTATTTGCATTTTAATAGAAGAGTAGTACCTGAGGCCTAATGACCTTAAAAATGAATCTCTAGTGATAAAATTCCCAATGACAAATGAAAAAATATAAAGGGAAAACATACAAATAGTTCTGGTGGCCTTGGGATGAATTACATCATTTGGTTGCCTTTCCCACCGTGGAAGTCAGAACAGGCCTGCTGAGGAACAAACAAACAAAATGTGAATAAACCCTGAGTTCCCAGAAATTTTTGCTAAGTCACAAGTTAGTAAGCCATTGCTTAGTTTAGGCCACTTGAGTTTCCTAGAATGCCATTTTCAAATCCCTAGCAGCAGCCACTGGCCGTGTATTTAAGGTAGAAACTGGAGAGCTTTCAAAATAATAGATCTTCCCACTCAAAATGCAGTCTACACAGCAGCCACTTTTTAATTCATCATTGTCTTGTAACAAGATTACTGATTATAAAATCATGAAATAAATAGCCAGGGATGGAGGAAGTGTTGGAATCACTATTTCTTTAATGACTGAGGGATTATTGGCCATTCATTTTCGGCTGTTTGTAATTGAAGTCTGGAAATAATGGAATTTATCAGGGAAACGCCTCATTCACCCGTGTATAATTTGAACATACAGAAATGGTACACGTGGACCCATAAATCGTTTGTGTGCACAGAGCGGCGATACATCACTCACCCCTCATTCGACCAGTGCTGTGCGCAAGGAAAAGCATGGAAGTCTGAATTATAGCTTACTAGGCAGAATCCCATAATTTCACGTCTTACATTTCCAGAAGGCTTTTTTTTTTAATGTAACCTTCATATTATTTATACTTGCTGGTCATTCATGATAGAAGACGCTTTTATCATGAGGTATTTTTATCAAGGTATTTTTTTATTATGTATTTATCAAGACACAAATGTTTTTGACAAAGTCACTTTCAGTCAGTCAAACAAATCCTTCTCCTGGGCTTGGAGCAACAATATCTGTTGTCTACATAGTGTTCGGTTAGGCCTATAGTCACTAATACACCAGCTGGAAATAATAAACATGTTAAAATCAAATTAAATTGTTTCTTCGTGGGTAGTTTCATGTTTAAAGCAAAGACCGTGTAACTTCCTCTTTCTTATTAAAACTGCAGCAACGGCCCTGGCTGGTGTAGCTCAGTGGATTGAGCACATACCTGTGAAGCAAAAGGTCACCAGTTCGATTCCCAGTCAGGGCACATGCCTAGGTTGTAGGCCAGGTCCCCAGTAGAGGACACATGAGAGGCAACCACACATCGATGTTTCTCTCCCCTCTTTCTCCTTCCCTTCCCCTCTCTCTAAAAATAAATAAATAAAATATTTTTTTCAAAACGCAGCAACGAATTTAGTTATTGTTTTTAACCACTGCAGAGTGCAGATACTGTGTTAAAGCATCGATTTTGCAGAGCTGACTCCTTTAGCGACTAGAACTATTTTCTTGCAGCAAGTCTTTTGTAGGCTAATTTAACTCTCAGTCCACAGGGACTGATACTATATCCATATGTCACCCTGCAATCCTAAAACTTTCTGTCATAATGGAATTGTGGCAGAAATATAGAATTAAAAATATAAAATATCATACATACTATGGGGATATCAGTTAAATACTCATGAAAAATCTCTATTTTAGATCATTTACATTTGCAGTTCATTTCATGTGTTCAGATTTTTCCATTTTATTCTCAAGACCTTCTAGATCCTTGCTATACAAACCATCCTTGGACAGCAATGTATCAACGCATCTTGGTAGCTTGTTAGAAATGCAGATTCCCCCACACCACTATAGAATCAGAATCTGCATTTTTATAACATCCCAGAGTGACACGTGTCCACACTAAAGTCTGACAAGCCCTTTTCTAGATAGCTGTTGGATGGCAGATGGCACTTTGAGGGAGACAAGAATCATTGATAAATCTGAACTGGTTACTTAAGAGGCAAAATAATAATATTGTATTAACTAACATTTTTGCCCATTTTCTGTATTCTGGGCATCATAGTAGTTTGATGCTTTTTACACACATTCTCTCATTTGGGCGAAAGGAAAAGGGAAAACCCTTTTCCTGAAGATGGAGGACTGACTTAGTAAGTGGAGAATTTTAAAAATATTCTGGGTAGTCATCAAGCCCAGAGAAAGAGCTAAATCAAGAGTGGAAGTATTTGGGATAAGAACAGGTACAGTTTACATATGTGAAGAGTATAGGCTAGCGCAGAGAAAATGGAAACAAAAATGTCAAATGATGAGAAAAAATGTTACGTTAATGGATTCAGCCACCAGGGAAGAGCTGATTGGGAGTGACATAATTAATATGTCACTGTAAGTACATAACGATTTTCACTCATCTTCTCTCTTTAGAACAAAGGTGAAGAGACTATGTTGTATGTTTACTTTATATGCAAATACACATATAAAGGATATAAATGTACGTTCCTTATATGGATCTAAGACTTTGTAATGAATAATTCTTGCAACCTTAATATTGGCATAGAAGTATATCATATTTAATGCATAGTCATGAATATTAATTTTGTTCTTTAAGGAACAAACTTAAGTATAAGAGCCAATGGAGGAAAATATAAGTAAATTTGGGGATAATAAGAACTAGTTTCTAACCTTATTTCTAACCTGATACCATAATAATAGATAGACCAAAGTATAACCAACTCATCTGTTAACAAGATTAGTGTTACTAATATGTTGCATAGAGCTTTTTTAATAACATCCAAACTTAGTCTTTAGTGAAGTGCCTTCTGAGATATGGGAGAATTGATATCTGCATTATTGGGTTTTTATTTACTTGCTTCTATTTGCATTAATTTTTTAGGGACTCATTTCATTTTTATTGTAGTACAGACAGTTTCTATAAATTTGTAAGAGGCTCCAAACAATTCCCCTTAGTGTCAGTAAAAGCCACTACTATAATTCCACTTCTCTGAAAGTAAATATAAAATAGTAAGTTACCTCAATAGTAATATTATTGATGAGAATTACATTAGTCATCTGTTGCTGCATAATAAATTAACCCAAAACTTAGCAGCTTAAAACAGCAAACCTGTTTTATCTCCCAGAGGGGTGGGAACCCAGGGTTGGCATGGCTCAGTGCCGGCGCCTCAAGGGGGCTTTCATGAAGCTGCCATCAAGCCATAAGCTGGGGCTGCGATCTCATCCGAAGGCTCCGCCTGTGTGAGTTCATTCACAAGGTGCTGGCTGGCTCCGGCTCCTCATCACATGGGCCTTTCCAGAGGCTACCTTTATGACATGGCAGTTAGCTTCCCACAGAGCAAGCAATCCAGAAGGGCTCAAAAGAGAAAACATGGCCAAGGGGAAGCCATGGTCTTCTGTTACTCCTGCCGTATTGTATTCATTACAAGCAAATCAGTAAATCCAGCCCACACCAAAGGGAGAGGATTACACACGAGTGTGAGCGCCAGGGACGGGGATGGCCTCCGGCTGACCACAGTTGTTTTTCTTTTCATCTAGCTTCCTAGGTCTATTTTGAACACGTATTATTTGTGTGATAAGCAAATAAAAATGTTAGAGGCAACAAATTAAAGAGAAAATATTCTTTTTCCAGAAATGTTGATAGAAAGAGTCACTCCTCTTTAGCGCTTTCTTAGTAAGAGAACTGAATTGAATAAAGACAGAATTTATTAATGACCTTCCTGGCCACACATTAGATCCATGTTATGGATTTATGCCATGAAATCACATCTGAGATGATTAACCTAACAGGGTTTTAGATAGCTTTCAAATCTCTGCACTGAAAAATTGAAATAGCAAAACCTCTAGTAGTGGTACGAATATATCAGTCTTTTTCATTGCCTAACAGCCTCCTTGCTCTTTCTCAACAGTATGCTGGAGAGCTCAAACCGGCTTGATGAAGAACACAGGTTGATTGCCAGGTACGCGGCAAGACTGGCAGCAGAGTCCACGTCGTCTGTAAGTAGTTTGAGTGAGAGGATGTCATGCTCATTGTTCATCTTGTAGTCGGTGCTACAGCAGCACAGCTCAGAAGTTGCTACCGCGTGGTCTGCAAGACCTAAAACTGATCTGGCCTTCCACTGCTTCAATTTTTCTCCCTTCTCATCTGTCATTCTGTTTGACATAGATCACAGGGGGCAAACACAAGGCCCAAGGGCTGAATCCAGCCCTCCACCTTGTGTTGTCTGACCCAGCACCTTGTTTCTCCCCATTTGCAGCATAGAGCTCCTCGCCCCTAGTTGAGGAGTAGTTACATGTATACAGTCCTGAAGTTGCATTTGGCCCTTGGAAGGCAACCGCGAGGCTGATGTGACCCCCAGTGAAAATGAGTTTGACGCCCCTGACATAGAGCTTAGCATAAGATATCCCGTTACAATACTGCTGAAACAGCCTAACACTCAATTTCTCTGGGTAATTCCCGATCAGTTAATATAAAGAGCAAAGCAGTGACTCAAATCCACAACTGGTCCAGAAAACTTTCTACTTTTTATCAGTGTGTAAAATGTATGAAAAAGAGGAAATTATGTAATGAAATTCCCAGACCGTTCTGGTCACACGTCAAAGCTGTCGTATACCAAACTTCATTATAGAAAGTCATTTAGGAGAAAAAGCATGGGATCTCAGACTTCTTCATCAGCATCACAAATCTTTTCTGTGTTCAGAGAGATGCTAATGAAAAATTATAGGAAAGCTTGATGAAAGCCAGACCTTTACCATATTTAACCTTTGCGGCAATCATGCTTCTCGATATTAAAACGCGGGCTGAGTTCCTTCATGCCTTTTGGGTCTAGGCAATCGGTGCCATTTTTAAAGCTTGGCATTTTTTGGCAGGAAGATTAGTTGTGATTTTTTAAATTTGTTTTAAAAGCAATAAATATCAACATTGAGAAATTTCTACAATACTGTGGAGCAAAGAAAGCAAGACACGGAAATGTACGTAATCTGATCCTATTTTTATAGAACAATGACAAATTAGCCCTAAATAAACATACATATATATAAATATAGTGTATTATTATATATATATATACCTGCATGCATGTGCGTATAGGCATAATAATATACCATAAATATGGTGTATATAATCATATGTATGTATATATGTGTGTATATATGTATATGTGTATTTAATCAATGAATAATTTGTATAGAATATATATAGTTTGTTAGGAGTTAATTTATGTATGTATGTATAATTGTATATATACATATAATTTTATAAGAATGGAGAAAGCTATGGCTGCACATGTTAAAGCATTGAAGTTAACTGCATATAAAGAAATGCTAAAAGTCTGTTGACCAAAAGAAGGAGAGAGCATTTTAACTCTGATTTTAAACTATGAAATTTCTACCTGCACACTACAGTGATTGAACAGTATTTCCAGAAAAAGAGTTATCTCAACAGGAAAGTATTTTTTAAACCCACCTATACTGAGAGAATAGTTGCAATGGGGGACAGCATGACAGGAATGAAATCGCTCCCCAAAGACTTCAAATCTGAAAGCTAGAAAACAGTTTTTTCTATGTTTTGTGTATTTGCTGCCAAAGAATTCCATTCTGCTTTCCATTGCATAGCTGTGCTCTGATACACAGGAGAGCTGGTCCTCAGGAGAGGGATGGCAATTACATTTTATCTATTTGTTTGATAGAAATTGTCTCTTTTTTCTTGTCTGCATGTCTCAGGACTCCTGTCTTCTCAAAGACACGCGGGTTCCCATTCCCAATATTAAATAGTGTAAACCGCATGTCTTACAGCAGCCAGCTCAGCAGAGAAGTGCTCCTGACATTTCCTTCACCATCGATGCAAATAAGCAGCAAAGGCAGCTCATCGCAGAACTAGAGAACAAGAACAGGTACGACTTCTTAGATGTGCTGGCTTTTTTATCAAAGGGTGCGTTCACCAGTAAACTAGAGTCGTACTTTGAACTAGCCAGGGTTTTCACCCTGAAGGAGTGTTCGAGAGCACACCTGGGATGCTGATTTCTGAGAAGCTAGTCTTGAGATTTTAGATCTTCAGAAGCTTCATGAGGAAGGATATGTGTATGTAATTTTGAATGTCAATGCAATTATTGTTTTCTCTCTAGACAGCCTCACTTCCCTTTTTCTGACACACTTATTTTTGTTAAGGAGCTGCTAATGCAGAAGGACCTCCCTGAGTAATAGGAGGAAATTATCTCTGCCACCCAGGGTCAAGGAGAAGGCTCTCCAAGGAGGGTCCCTGGAGGGACCCCAAGCTAAGAGAGACATTGGACTGCTATCTCCATCACCCATGTGTTCAAGTGAAACATCTTCCTGTCCAGTCCATCAGCAGGTCCTTTCTTTCTTCCACGCAGATTGAATCAGTCCACCCCCACAGTGTATCCCAAAATTGTCACTTCATCTCCACCATTACTGCCCAGTCCAACCCGTCATTTTCACAAAACAGAAATCACATTATGTGATTTCTTGTCCAAAGCCCTCTGATGGCTTTTCATCACACTTTGACTAAAACCCGCCCTTCTTACCGTGGTCTACAGGGTCTTACCTAGCTTGATTCCTGCCTACTTTTCAAGCCTCAACACACATTGCTCTTTACAATCTTGCTTCTTTCTCCCTTTACAGCCTTTGCACTAATGTTCTCTGGGCTTAGAAAGCTCTTCCCTCAGGGTCTCTGCATGAACGGCTCCTTCTCATCATTCAGGTTTTAGCTGAAAAGAGTCTCGCCTGCTCCCTCCCACCACAGGCACCAGTCTGCATCACAGCTGCAGCACGCACTCGTGTGTGGGATTCATAACCGTCCAAAATAACTGCATTTAAGTGTTGGTTTCCTGGTTTATTGTCTGTCTTCCCTGACTGAAGTGCAAGTTCTTTGAGAACAGAGGCCATGCCAAATGGTCCCTAGGTTCCAGAACTATGTCTGATATATTATAGTGAATAGAGAGAGAATTATAAGCAGCTGAATAGGATCTCAAACTCAGTGCCAATATAGCCCAATATAGGAACAACTTGTTATATTTCTTAATAACAACATTTTATATTTCTTAGAACAGCACCAAAATGTCTTAATCCCATTCTTGAACACCGATATCACTTCTGAGAGCAAACTGGTAAAGAAGAAGATTGTACTAATTGTTTCATGCCTGTAGAGTTTGACCTGAGAATTTCAGGGTACGTGGTCAAAGCATTTTTTAGAGTTACACAGAAAAAAATTTTGAAACAACATACAAATTCAGTTAGCATATTTTCATTTTTAGAAAGACAAAAGACAACAGTGAAAACTCACAAGTCCACACATATTTTATCTTAGTTGCCACATTAACGTACTCTCCAATTTTTCCAAAGCACCTTGCTTTTCCTTCCAGTCCTCTGCTTCCACTCAGCATGGGGAAGACACACGTGAGGGGAGAGAAATCGGGACTTCCTTTAAGGAAACACCCCAGAGATAGCTGCCTCCGTGTGGGGTTCCAGGATCAGTGGGAAGCGCCGTGAATGTCCTCAAGACCCTGCTATGCCATGATACTACTCTTCCTGCTTGTTTCTAGGATGCTTTTGGATTGTTCTCTCTGAATGCATGTTTTCGGGACCAGAGGGAAAAATTAAGAAATAGAAATGAAAGGGCAGAAAAGGAGCTTTATCCTGTGCTTGAGTTCTTTCATGGCCCTGAGATGTCTCCACCCCGTGCTGATGAGGATTCGGTCCATCCTGAACTCTCTCTAAGCCAGTGGCCCCATGCCCTCCAAAAGCTCCAGAACCACATCCCAGAAGCTTATCCAGGTCACACTTCTGCCCCATGGAAATTAACCCCAAGGGTCCCAGGGTCTCCAAGATGGCAATTAACCCAATAAACAGATCTCTGAGCTTCAGGGGAAGATAGAGTTCCTCACTTTACTTCCTGACTACCCTAGATAATTCATGGACATTTCAGCAATGATCTTTAGAATAGAATGCTTTCTTACAGAACCCTTGGAGGAGCCAGTTGGAGTTAGTATTAGGCATAGCAGGACTCTTCACATTACATTGCATAAGTCACAGCCTGCCCAGGCCGGACCCCTCACAGCAAGTACCAAAGACCAAGGGAGGAAGTCTGATACATACAAGTTTGGGAGCTAACAAAGCTGGGTTCGGATCACCTCTACCACTTCTGTTCTGTTGAACTTGGGCACGTCTTTCAACTGGTCTGTGCTTTGATTTCTTCATTCATGAAACAGATTACAGTGGTACCTATATACAATAGAATTATTATAAGGATTAAATAAAATAAGATTTTAAAAGACAGCAGAGGTCCTGGGTATAGACTAAGCACTCGGTGCTCATTACATGTCTTACCGCTATCTTTCCGTACCAGGGCTGCTCTTCCTTGGGCTACACAGCTCTGTGAGCGTCCTGTGCTTACAACCAACAAGGAGAACTAGCGGGAGTCGCAGCATCCCAGGATGTTCGCCCTGGAGGAGGTCTTCAAAGCCCCAGCACACTGATTTTCAGCTGAGCTCAGTGAGGCCCCGGAGGCTCTCAAGAGGTGCCCAAAGGCAGGGGACAAGGGTCCGGGAGCCCTGTTCCTTTGATATACTGGGTTTCCATAGAATGTGTCCATGAAAGAAATGTTTTCACCACAGAACACAAAGAGAGACCAATAAAAGTTGAAAACACTGAATTATACAGTCCAGCCTTCTCACCACACCCAGTAATTAGCTTCTTGCTGCTCGTGTGTTGGTGAAGCAGACAGTTATAAATTAGCCTTTCAGTAGAAAGCCAGCCCCTTGCTCACAAAGTTCACTTCCCATTCTTGGTGCTTTGTTCTGTCTTTCTGGCTCTTGTGCATTTTCTTGGGTGGGAGACTGACCCCCTCCCCCAAGAATAAATGATTTGTTACCTTGCTAATGGCTTCTAACTCACTCAGGGATAATTTGCCTTGCACAGGTCACCTATCTTTTATGTCCTGCCTACTGTTCACCTCAATGCAGGGCAGCCCAGGCCCCAACATCAATAACAGACTGACGTGTGTCACCCCTGACAGAGGTCACACCAAAAGCACTCTTATGTCACAGACTCAATTACAGTGAATCCTTTTAAAAGCACTCTCCTTCTATGGCTACTCTCGCTGAGATCTATTGTTAAGGCTGAAAGTGTTAAGAAAAAGAGAAAGAATTTTGCCTATCCATGGCCTTCTCAGATAAATTCAGTAAGAGGAATTTCATTCCTGGTGAGAGAATGGGGTTATTCAGTCTTGGGAAATGAGCACCATTTATCCTTATTTCCCCTCCAAGCACCTCTTATTTGGTAGCTGCAGTTACTTCGTGGTTGTGAGTGTGATCATAAATAATAGGAAGATACAGTTTTGTCTCTTAAGCAGTGCACTTTTCAAAGCTGAGCACATTTCCATGGCGTTCTATTCCTTGCTAGAAAGATTAGTGGGTCCTGATGAGAACGCCCAGCCTGCAGGCTCCAGCAACATACAGCAGAATCCTCGTGGCTTGGACACACGGGAGATGAAGTCAGAAACCTCCCATGCACAGCAGCCAACTAGCTGCAGCCGACCCTTTGGAAGCAGAGTTGGTTTAGTGAGGGTCGGTTCTGCTCCGAAACATAGGATGACCCGTTCTTCCTCCTGGCGGCTCTGGTGGCCCTGGTGGCTCTGGTGGCCCTGGTGTGCTCTGCCAAGTGTTCGATCCTGGATACTCTGAAAGTGCACTGATCCTGGTTTCTTACCTTTCTCCTCTCTCCCAAGAGAAATCTTACAGGAGATCCAGAGGCTGCGGCTAGAGCATGAGCAAGCTTCTCAGCCTACCCCAGAGAAGGCGCAACAAAACCCCACTCTGCTGGCAGAGCTGCGGCTCCTCAGGTAAGAGGGGAGCCTGAGGCACCGCGGGGAAAGGAGACCTTCGGGGAAGTCTGAGGCTGTCTAGCCAGAATCCGGTTCTGAGCCTGCTTCTGACTTTTATTTGTTTTGTTTTTTAATTACGTACACCTGCTTGCTGAGATTTGGGAATTTAGGGGAGAGGCTGTTTATATTTTATTCTTTTATTTGATACAGAGAAAAGGGAACCATTCTTTGGACCAGAAACAAAACCTCTTACAGGAAAAAAACTTAACATAAATCTCTTTAGTTATTTGCACCGTCAACAATGTGTTTATAATACACATGATCGAAACATTTTTACATTTAAAATGTTGCCTGTAATCCATAAAAGGGAGTCCAATTTTCTCTAAATCTGTGTCCCTGATAGCTTTACTTACAGATCTTAAAAAATAGACCCCATACCTTCCGTAATTGAGTTAAAAGACCTGGGCTTACCTACTCTGTCATCATAAAGTAATTGAGCTGGAAAGGACCTCAGAAGGTCACCGGATCAACCCTGAATTTCAGTGCACTTCCCGGAGTCAGAGGGTGGGAAGCAGCGGAGTGTGGACGAGGACTCTAAAGGCTCCCTCCGCGCCCGTGGGCACAAGGAAAGTCGAGCCCCGACTCCGCATCAGACTGGCTTCCCACCATGCCTTGCACATGACACATTCTCAAACCTATTTGTGTACCAAACAAAATAAACATAAATTCAAAAATAGTCCATCACAGAAATGTCATATTTCACAAGGCACTTTCAGCTAGCAAGTATAGCATACTTTCTATCTTTCAGTTTGTATATTCTGAAAGATAGAATATACAAAGTATATTCATGGTATATCTGGCTCTGAGGCATATTTTTCAAGTATGGTCATATGCTGCATAACAATGTTTAATTAAACAACAGGCCTCATGTATGGTGGTCGTCCCATTAGTTTACAGTGGAGCTGAAAAGTTCCTATTGCCTAATGATGCCGCAGCCATCATAACGTAGCAGCACAACGCATTACTGGCGATGCTGGCGTAAACCGACCTACTGTGCTGCCAGCCGGGGAAAAGTATAGCACGTACAATCATGTACAGTACTTAGTACTTTACAATGATACTAAATGACCAGTACTAGCTTATGTATTTACTATACTTTTTACCATTATTATAGTGTATATACTCTTTATAGGGCATATAGTGTTTATACTCTTATTAAGAAACTTTGCTGTGAAACGGTGTGCCATGTCGTGCCAGCAGCAGCCTGATACAGCTCATGTCCCTTGATCGCATCATTTTTCCATGTGCTTGATTTACTCTCGTGTCGTTTTGTGCAGTAACATGCCGTGCAGGCCTGGAGCCTAGGAGCACTAGGCTGTACCACACAGCCCAGGTGCACAGTGGACTGTACCATCCAGGTTTGTGTAAGTACACTTCAGGATGTTCACACAATGACAAAAGCATCTAATGACGCATTTCTCAGAGCACATCCCGTTAAGGGGGACATGACTGCACCAATGTGTCTTTTCAGAAACCCTTGTCAGAATCAGAGTGCCGTTTACTTTCTCCAAACAAAGAGATTAAATTAAGCAGGTTCTCTACAGCTATGTTTGGAGTTTACCAAGTCCCTACTGATTGTAGTCATGGATGTTTCCGAGGGTTCCACTCTGGCCCGTGTCTTCAGACACGTTAACATCTGAGCACCACAGCACAGCTGGCCCAGGCCGCAGGGCCTGCCTGCTCACAGCTGGGATCCAGCCTCCCCAGGCCCATGCAACTGGCTTGGAGGGACCAACCCTCCAAAGGCTTGAGTTACGGAAGAGAAATCTACAGAACCTGCAGCTGGTGAGGCTGCTTCAAGTATGAGATCACGTCCTACTTTAGAATAACAAAATTACTTAACTGAAGAAACAGAAATTCTTTCTTTTCAAGCCATGTCACTTCTGGTCCTATCTTCAGAGAGATGTATTAGAAATCCTTGTACATTCTACTACACCAGCACCCAGAAGGAAAGAAAATGAAAAGAAGGGAAAAGTAATGTTTCACATCCTCTTCCTCCTCGGAGGCATATAAAAGTAGATGACGGTTGAAAAGTATGTTTCACCAAATAGGATTCTGTAAGCCCCCCAAGTGCACAGGTGAAAATTAAGTTCAATATATCCTGAAATATAACTGAATAAATGAACTTGGAAACCAAGTAGTCATTCATCTACACATCAGAGTACTTTTTCTCTTCCTGAAATGCTTTTTATACCACTTCCACTGGGTGTCCCATTCCCTAGTGGAGGGATAATGACTAGGAATTTTTCATAAGCATTTTCATCAGTTCCCACCAGTTAGCATTTGCTTTCCAAAGTATTTGGTGCCAGTGGTGTTTGGTGTATAATATAGTCTGAGAAGACATCTGCTGATGCCTTCTCATCATCTGATGATGACGAGTTTTCCAACTGACATTTTTTCCCTCCGGCCCTGACTCGTGGGTGTTTCCATGACCCCAGCTGAGCCCAAAGCTACACGAAGGAGGATGGCTGGGCAGGAACCTACATACTTTTGGCCCTCACTGTCAGCTGGTGCCTCACACCTGAGACTTGAGTCCTGAGTCCTAAATCCCAACTGATTTGCTTTTGCTTGCCTCTGTACTCTATACATTGCTTCTGTAGAAGAATACCCTCCCTTTAAGGGTATTCCTCTAGATACTTATAAACCACTCATTCTGTGCTAAGCACTTTCAGAATTTGTGGATTTCAGAGGTACGCCAACAGCCCAGGTTAAGAAACCCAGCTCTGGGTGTTCTAAGTTGTATCCTTTAGTCATTTCAGACTTTGAAAGCACTCCAAAACAATGGCCTTGGGCCTGGTCACTTTGGCCTTAGTTCAAACTGTGGGGTGGCTGGCGTGTGAAACAGCCAGAGAAACTCCTTTCCGTAACTTTGATAGAGGTCTTCTCATTTCATTACCTCCTTCCCAGGGCCTTTTGTTGAGAAGCCAACAGGAGAGAGTCCTTTTAGCTCAGGGATAGGAGAGGGGGAAAGGAGCAGAGCTTTGCTTTTCATGAACTCATACTTTATTTTTATCTTAACAGCACCATGACCTTTCTAAATAATCATATTTTCCTTTTCACTTTAGCTACAGCAAAGCTGAAATTCAAGTTTGCAGCCCAGGTCTGACAGCTGAGGAGGATTATGTGGCAGGCATGTCTGTGTGCTGATCTGACACTTCTGTGCACTAAGCTCTATACACACTGCTCCATATAATTGCTGTAACACACCTGGGAGATGGACATATTGCACTCTTTCAATAAATATAAAAACCGAGACCCACAGGAGTTAAATAACACCCTAGATCCTGCACAATGAATAGCACAGATGGATTCCATCTCCTTTTCTTAGATCTTAATTATGTATCTCCTGCCTGAACTACTACAATGAGTACTTAATTGATATCCAGACCCTGGTCTATCTACTCAACTAGCAGAACTATCTTTCTTCATGTTGTTATTTAGTTCATTTATTCATTTCTAAAATGCAGCATGCCCAGAATGTGTTACAACACCATGATGAGTTGGACAAGATATTCTTCCTGGTCTCATAGAATTTGTGGTCTAGTAGGAAAGTGAAATAAATAAAAGTGCAAATAAGAATAAATTATAAACTGAGATAAATGGTAGAAGAAATCTTCCTTTTAAAAAAATGATCAAACCTGTACTTGACTAGAGACAGAAAGGGCTGCCATGACGAAGGGTTGTTTGAGCTGAAGTATGAAGAACAGGACACAGGGAATGGGGATTAAGGAGGGGGAGGGGCCTGGAAAGGGTCCTCCGGTAAGGTACAAACTACATGTACAAAGACTAAATGGTAGGACAAAATATGGAGATTCTTTAGGAACTAAAAGTTCTGTAGGCCCAGAGTGGAGTGCGGTAAGGGGTGCATGGTAAGAGATGGAGTCGAGGATGTGAGTAGGGATAGATCATGATTCTGTGGTCTTTCAGACCGTCTTAGTGGTATTGCTGTCAATCTCACAACTGGAAGCCACTGAAGGAGGAGAGTTACATCTCAAGCAAACACAATGGATTAGATTGTCAAGTCAGACTCATGAACCAGAGATCTTACTCCAGTGTTGAGCTTTGCTAATAACTTCAAGAATATAGGCAATCAAGAGGCGCTGATGAAACAGAGAAAGGTCTGGAACATTTCACATGGTTTCCCAAGGTCTTTTCTTCTCCCGTTGGATGTAGCTTCCAAGGGAGATTTTGCAAGGTGAGGTAGTGAACCCTCCCTGAACTTCCACAGCTCGATAGAACTGTCCGTCTTCCTCTGTTACCATTTATAGCGATTGTTCTTATTTCTGTTACACACTCACCATCATTATTTTGAACTTTTTCATGTTTCCTGCTCTCTCACCCAAGGACAAAAGGTGTATCCTACTCATTATTTTATTTGCAGTACCTCAAAACAAAAGTGCTAAGTAGATGTTTGTGGATTGAATGGATGAGTTGCAAAACCCTGGAAAGACAGCTAAAAAAACGGTGCAAAGGTATTAAAATACTATTTTCTATAATGAAGTAAGCATTTCTTAAAACTGTAAAGCAACAAACTTCACCCTACAAATCTCAAGAAAAACAACTATCAGTTTTCACATCTATCCCTTGCCTAAAAAATAAGCTCCCAAAATTGCACTCTTTTTAAAGTATGTAAAATTATTCTTCATGACAACTTGTTAATATAAAGTGACTTTTTTTGTTTTACCAGTTCAAATGAAATTGTAATCCCTGAGAAAATTCTGTGGTTTCCAGACTTGAATTTCATGAACCAATTTAGTTTTTTAATTGTATTTGGCAAACAATAAAAAGTTGAGTACTTTTATGTGCTACTATATAGTGACATTTTAAAAGAGTACCATCATCTTTTGTCATGAGTTTCATGACAGTTTCATGAGTGATAGTATATACTTATATATTTTAATTTTTATTTTGAACAAACATTAAGCCTTCTATGTTTCACCTAGAGATTGCAAACATTTTGCCATATACTTCTCTATTTCCATATGTGTGTGTGTATCTACTTGAATATAAATTACATATGCATTTTTGATGAGTGATTTGACAGTAAGTTGCTGACATCATAAGTATTTATGTGTATATTTTCTAAGAAAAATGTTATCTTATATAACCATGGTATTATCATTAAACTCAGGAAAGTTAATATTGATATTTATTGCCCACTATGCAATTTGTATTAAAATTTTGCCTATTATTTCCATATTGTCCTAAAAGAAAGTAGGTTTTTAACACACATGCAAAACTAGAAATAATCCGAAAAGATTTCAAAATAAAAGACACTTCTTTAGAGATGAATATATTTACCTCTGTAAAAATAAAGTCATGACTTAGTCCTTGTTTCATCTTTCCTCCTCTTTTCCCCTTGGAACAGTAGAGGCTATGCCACATTTGGTAATCGCTGGTGTAAATACTTACAGAGAAGATTAAATAAAGACATTACCATTTTTTAATTGAATTTAACCAAATGCATGAAAGACTATCATGTTTTGAAAGATGACTACTGTAAGTTAGATGTACAAATAACTTTTTAAAGTTGTGATTAATTCTAAAGTAACAATAGTTGGCTTTTTCTGATAGTTTTTAGATGTCTTTCTTAGTATTACTTGCCTACAATGTCAGAATTTTGTTTCAAACCTCTTCTCAAAGTGCTTTTATGGCCAAAAGGCCAAAAAGTACAGAGCAGTATCTAGAAGAGAACTGGAAATAAATCAAAAGGCTGATTTACCCTTCTACCCAAGCCCTACTGCTGGATGTATTTGGAACACCGTGTGTGGACGAGGTCAAAGAAAAAGCAGCTAATGAATTTGTCACTGAAGAATATTTTTTAATGAGGCAAGACTTTCAAAATTAGAATCTGTAGGCCAGGAAGACAAAGACTGAAATAAGATGCCATTAAAGTCTATAAAATTATGATGTTCCTTATCCACAAGATTCAGAAAAGAGGCAATTATGAGGGAAATCAAAGAGAAGATTGCTTTGGTAGTAAGCCTTAAGTGGCAATAAAAGCTGAAAATATATTCAAAAAGAGTTATGTTTATCAATTTTAAATCCATCACTCATTAGAGAGTAGGCCTATGTGAAAGCGAATTAGAAATGTCTCATTTATATCTATAACCTGTCCTCCCACAAAATATCTTTCAGTCGGATGAGCCATTGACCTAACTCAGTGTGACGTTTTTATATTGTCAGTTTTTCATTTCAGAGTCCCTGCTATGGCTCCACTTAACATTGTGCCTATGCCATTGAGACTAGGCACATCCATTTATACACTAATGCATGTATGGTTAAAACATTTACACGTTTCTAAAATAAAAGTTCCAATATTTCAAGCTCAGACAGAGAAGCTTTGGGAGCAAGAAAATAATGTATATATTGCTTATTCACTAATGGTCACGAAGTAATCTATTTGAAATTGATTTAAAAGTGTACCTATACTTCAGAAATGTGAACCATTAATATGCTTCTTCATACCGTTTCATTTATTCCCCCCCTTTTAAAGGTATTTTTGATACTTCTTAGTGTCAACATCAGTGGTAGAGTGTGGATTGTCCTTCATGGTTTTCTTGCTGACAGTTTAATGGGTCTACAAAACAAAACAAAATTAAACAAAGACTAACCTTGTAGATTACTTTCAGTTAAAATAATTGTGTGGGAACTTCTTTATTCTGGCTTGTTCCATTTTATGAAACCAAGCCCAAACAAAAAAATTAGATTGACTAATAACTGTGCACCATTAATGTTTGACCTCTGAAAAGCACATGAAGGGTGGAAGAGATGAAAAATGTCCCTTGATGAATCTAATTTCTAAATAATAAGGCCATCAGTGTTTTCTGTGAGACTCACCAAAGGGTCCTTGGACTTGGAGGATCTGTGGGGTTGGCGTTTCTCAGCAATGGTTTGGTTTTTGTTTGTTGTCTTGAGGATACGCAAGGGCACAGCACAGGGGGCCCGACCTGGGGAGCATCTAGAAAAGATTTCATCAATGGCTAACCCAGGACAGAAAGGGGAAAGTGTTTGAAGGATTTAAATTCTGTTTTAGTATGACTTCTAACAAATAAATATTCACCTCAAGCTGTAATTGTTCATTCATTTGCCATTTCCCTGCCTAGTAACCATGTCAAACACCCAGAGGTTCCCTGTTTCCGGAGGTTCACTAGCCCCACAAGATTGGGAAATGTGCTTAGCTCAGTGAGTTGAATGCTGCTTCTAATGACAATGGCTTCTTTCTTAGACAGCGCAAGGATGAGCTGGAACAGAGAATGTCTGCTCTCCAGGAGAGCCGGAGAGAGCTAATGGTCCAGTTAGAAGGTCTCATGAAGCTACTAAAGGTAAGAAAGAATTTGTAAAAGATTTTGCACACAATATACATTAGTTTTTGCAATTACTATATGTGATTTCCCCAAAAACGTGGCTCTAAATTTGTATATAGGAACTTTTCTTAGATGCATCAAATGATAGCAGGCAGTTATAGGGCTTATTCTGATCCACTTTCCGGAACCAGACTACTGAGGACCTTCATGGGACAACTTCCTGGCTTACTTCAGTTTCTTATGTCCTTGAAAGTAACAAGACTGGACTTATTTAGAAATATTTTACTTTTAAAGCTTTCAGCAATTCTGACTAAATTGAACAGAAGTTAATGTCTAAATCATAAAATAAAGATACAGCCATTAAATAACTTTGGTGGTCATCGTTTCATTCAGAGGAGTAACTTTATTCATTTCAGTCAAATTGTTCATCTTGCTTGTGTGGCTTCGGCAGCAAGTCATGTAAATTCTATGGGTCTCAGTTGCAGCTGCAGTTGAAAATGTCCCCTTATTTTCTTTCTTCTTATCCTATTGCCTGAGAAATATTAACCCCTTGGGCCCAAAAGAAGTTCCTGATAAATTACTAATAAACTTAGTTTCAGAAAGTTGAGCTTTTTTAAAAAAATTTTTTATTTCTCTCCTTACTTTTCTGAAGGTAGTGTTTAAGGCCCCTAGGAGTCCTCTGCAGAGTGCTCTAATGTATTACTACTCCTCTTGGGAAATGACATACTTCCTTTCATAAATCCTTTTTCCTTTTTTAAGTATACGCTAAATCACATTCTAAGTCAAACGTAGACTAACTCTGGCCACATGTCTATAGTCAGCCCAGTAGACATATCAGTGCTGTGTGGTCACCCTGCCTGATGTAAACAAGCATGAAACCATGTGGACTGAGACGGCGACACCCAAAGGCAGGGGCTAGAACTTCTGATAAGAAAACAGGGGCAGAGTCCCTGGGGCAGAGCACCTGAGACATGATGTCCTGACTGTCAGCTCATGGACCGCTCATGACCCTGACACGCCATCATTTTTTGTTTCTGTGTTTTTCTTTTCTCTCTCTCCTCCTCCTCCTCTCCATCATCACATGCTCCTTCTCCTTCTTTTTTCTCCCTCCCTTTATTCCTTTCTTTCTTCCTTTTTTTAAACAAAGTATGTGTTGAAAGCTACCTACCTAGGCCCTGCTATAAGTTAACGTTTTTTCTTTTTTTTTTCTTTACTCTTTTTTATTCCTTGACCTTTCCTGCCATCAGTGTTGCAAATGCTTTATCTTTACACACAACTACCAGTGTATTAGACATGTACAGTGTAGAATTCGGTTTTTGTTGCACTTTGTATGTTACGACAGGACTGGATAATTAGCCACCTGTTGCTGTTTCTGGCCTGTTATCTCATTTGATGATCTAGAAAAGCTCTTTCTGCTTTCCTTTCCAAAATGCCAAATGAAGAAGGTCAGCCCCATCTTTGTTTTCACTGAATGACAGGAAGCTTTGAAAACACCCCCTGCTTCTATTCCAGTAGATTCTATCCCCATAACATTGGGATAGAGTCTATTTACCACCAGTCATCTGGGCATCGACCTAGCCTAACTGAGCAGTCTGTTGTATCAGGACGTACGAACACCAGGACAGAGAGACTGTGGACGAAGATGGTTGGACATGGAGAAAAGAGATGGGTCCATAGTTTTAAGTACCTAAAAAGACTTCAAACTGGAGTCATTGAGGTCAAGAGACCTGGCCTGCCATCAAAGCTGTGTTGATGTTTTCCCCACCTTGCATCCCTACACACTGTATACATGCTCTTATTGGAACCCTGGGTAATCTAACTGTTATTGATTCAATCTTTCTGTAGGAAGAAGAACTGAAACAGGGAGTAAGTTATGTTCCCTACTGCAGGTCTTAACTAACAGTGGAGGGGCCTGCCGTCCTGCTGTTTTTCTCATTGCTTTTGCCTCTAATGTATGTTCATGCTTCAGTTTGGAAAGAGAAAAAAATCACACTAATTTGCTTCCTTTTCAATGTAGTGCTTGAACTGAAACATATGAAATTTAGCATTTTTGTAACTATTGCTACTGTTGGCATCAAAAAATGAGTTATTGTGTCTTTGAGAAGAGGGAACAAATTGTCATTTGTTGGACACTTTTTTAGATCTCCAGGGGTCTCAATTTCAAACCAGTCTCATGTTTTGGGGGGTTGTTGATCTTTTTTTAATAGAAAAATGCCTATCACAGTCACTAAAGTTACACTAGGTGAAACCCACAATACTCAGCAGAAGCTAACCTCATCATCCTCTAATGGTGTGAATATCGGTTCAGTTTCCATTTTACTGAAAAGGTGTGGAACCTCTTTTTATAAAAGTTAGCTAATTACATCTCTTCTTATTATAAAATTATTAAGCACCAATTCCCCACTGCTCACCAAAATGTGCTCAACCTTATGAAGACTGTACTCAGTAATTTTTCACTTCCCATTGTTTACTTCTTCCCAAGCAGAATCCCTACCACTGATTGACCATAATCTCAAAAGAATAGGTAACTTTCAGCCTTTCTCTTATCACTGAGAAGCCTTCTGCTCTGGGATTTTACAAGGCCCTCACATACATCTCTAAAAATAGAGACATTTTGACTCTGATTGTGGCCTAAACTGAAATCCTCTCTCTAACTCTGTGGTCAAGTTCAGAAGCCACCAGACAGAGCAGTGTACTGAAAAATAATAACAGTTAAATGAAAGCAAAATAAAAGCAGCTTTAATTTCAAGTGCATGTATCAAGCTATGTATGCCAATATATCCCACCTGCTAGTATTATGAAAAAGTTTCACATTCTTTCCATGGATCAATTAGAACTACAGCCTGTCCAATTTCAACCTACCTTTAAATCCTTCTGTATTCTCTTTCCTATTATTCATTGTGTGTGTTTGTGTGTAACAAAAAATGTTTGCAAAATGCTGGACACGTTTTTACCCTTTATTCCCCTGGTCTGTTTAAAAAAAGGAAGTGTAAAACTAATCTGTAATGTCAGACAATAAAAACAATGTATTACATTATTTTGTATTTTGTGAAAAAAATTACTTTACTAGAACTAAAGTGCAGTTTTAGTAAGAGACAGTGCCCCTGGGCAAAGGACACACCGTGACAGCCTGCACAGTTGCCCAGAAATGCATGCACAGGGTATTGCTGGGTACTTCCAGCACACTTAGATCGTGCGAGAGAAAAATGCCTCGCTGTGGCACTTCTCTTTGCCAACAGCCTCTTTTCTTTCCTGTCTCTTACTTAGCATGTGCATAAAAAGAGGAAATAAGGATCCAGTATAAGGGTCTCCTCCTAGTGGACAGAGAGGGAAATCGTCCTGTAATCAGTCGGCCTTGCTTTATCCATTTCCTCCCTCCAGGACTCCTCTACCGTTTCCCAGGCAATCCATTCTTGAAAGGCTCAGTGGACCAGGAAGTTCATAAAACAATGGATGCATGGAGCAGGAAAGTGTAGAGGCAGAGAGCCGAACGATGGCAGCTCTCATAACAGCATCGTCACTGCCTCCTTTCCTTCCTGCTCCTCCCCACTGAGCCCTCAGCAGCTGCTGCATCTTTGAAGGTCAGCCAGCAGTGAGTGCTGCTGCAGAGGTACTTAAAGGCCATTACTGCTGACACCCAGATGTCAGCGATGCATAGTCTGGACAGGGGAGAGTTTACCTGTCTTATTTATTTGCTTTTCTACTCAAGCCTCTTTTGAAAAGGGACCCGAGGCAGCTTACAGCAAATAACATAAACAATGACTTCATAAAATGAAAAAAATAAAAATGCTACAGAAAAAATGCAAATATGCTCATTATAAGGGGCAGGAGTACTATTCTGAGCTTTCTGGCAATGACGCAGAAAAGAAAAACATAATTGGTGGGTTTTATCAGAACAGAAATCCTAGTTCTCAGGGGACCAAAATTCTGTTGGCATAAAGTGTAAAAACAAAGTTTTCACTCAGAGCTTTATAGGAGTGTTGAAAAATATTATGAACAAATGTGGTAGTAGCTTTCATATGGCTGCTTCTTCTACTGACCTTCAGTCAAAATTAAGACAGAACCCACCTGTCTCAATCCTGCAGGGGCAGTTCTACGGGGAAATAAACAAATGCCATCCAAATATATAGAATTCTCATGGTATAAAATGATAAGGAGAATATTTAGAGGTTTTAGTCTGGCATCTGCTTCTAAATTATGTTTTTATTTACAAGCCTTTCCTCTTTGGAGATGTTCCCTTTGTAAAATCAGGTTTAAGACACTGCACACAACAAATTGTGCTTGATTTAATAACCTCTACTTGCTTTATCATAAGTCTGTGTGGTTCGATGTATTTTATTACACTGGTATATATAATTCCTACTTACACTGTTTCTTATTAGAGGTAATGCATGAATTTATTCCCCCTTGAGGAAAAAACATGAATTTTAAAAAAATTAGTGCCTGTAATATAATATAATGATTATGATATGATAAGCAATAAATTTTTTTACAAAACTTGAATCAAAATTATCCTACCCTCTTTCTTCTTTGTGTATATTTAAGATTTGTTGAAAGCACCATAAAAAGAACACTCATAAAAAGTTTAATAACGAAGGTGACTGGGGTGTAATTTCAATGATGGTATGTTCCAGAATTTCTCATATACTTCCAGTTCCAAATATCATGTCCCAATCTAAAACCAAGCATTCTAACTTTGAGTTCAGAAGGTAATATCTCAATAATCACTTCTTAGAAAGATTATTGGAGTTAGACTTGAATGATAGTGTTCCCAGCTCTTCTTCTACAGTAGAAGATCTTGAGTAAGTAAATTAACTTCCTGGCAATTTATTTCAAACATCCTGATAATAGATCACTCACCAGGTTGTTGAATGGACTTTAAAAGATAATGGATGTGCAAGCACTTTGGAAAATACCACATGCGTGTCAGATATAAGTATGAATGTATGTGTATTGCACATGCACGCACATAGGTACATGCGAACTTTCTAATTCAACTCATACTTGACATGCACACGTACATTCACCCATTCCCTTCTCTTCCTTATAGTTAACTAACAGTGTCTCATCAGGGGAAGAAAAAATCAAATGTCATTGCAAATTGCATCTCCTGCTCCCATTCCCTTCTCTCTTTACAACTGATGGCTCAATTCACTCTGGGAGTCACAGTCACTCAAGTTCCTGCTTCTTCCCAATATGGTATGGAATTCAAACAAGCCAGAAATGACCAGTTTTTCCAGCTTAGATTTCACCTTTCTCTGTTTCACTTGCTCTTCCTCTCTGGTAGGTATTCTTGTTTTTAATTTTTATTTATTGATTTGAGAGAGAGAGAGATTTGTTGTTCCACTTATTTATACATTCATTGGTTGATTCTCATATGTGTCCTGTCTGGGGCCTTGGTGTATGGGCAGGACACGCTAGCCAACTGAGCTACCCTGGGCAGGGCTCTGATGGGGATTCTGTGGAGTAGTGAAGCAATCAAATGTGAGGATGGGGCTACGGAGAATTCATATCATACATAATCAACTGCAATATAAGGGCTAACATCTAGTGTTCAAAAACATGCCCTCCCAGAGTCATTCTCTCTCTCTCTCTCTCTCTCTCTGTCTTTCTCAATTTTAGGGATTGGTTAATTAGTTCTAGAAAAGTAATATCAGTTCAGGGTAAAGTCAAGCCCCTTTTATGACATGGGAAGCCCCCAAACCTAGCTCCACCCCTTCCCTAGCTTTCTTCTGCTCCACTCCCCACACTGAACCTGGTGCTCAGCCATACTGGCTTCCCAACTCTAACTGCCATGGGGTACCCCTCGCATGTCATAAATAAATTTCAGTGATATCTTGCTCATGATACTGCAAAGCCTGGAATGCTCTTCTCTTCTCCCAATACCTCCTCTTTTCTGCCTGGAAATCTCTCTACTAAGACCCAAGTCCAGTGATGCCCCCCTCCAGACAAGTCAGAATCATTCATATCACCTCATCTGTGTCCTCCCAACACTCTGTGCACAACAATCCTTGTGATGACAATCAGCGGATGCATATTGGGTGAAAGGATGAAAAGAGGGTTGAAGGCAGCCAAACGCTGCTTTACCCTGCCTTCCCAGGCTGCTGAGAATCTTTAAAACCAGACCTAACTAGGCTGTATTCTCAGCCAAACCTGAGAGGGAGGAGGAGCTGTGTCCTGCCACCCGTGGCTGCCTCGTGGCAATGCTGTTTCTCCAGACATTGCTGCTTCAGCAGTTAGTATCCCTTCTTCCTGGTGCTGAGTGGAAACCAAAATGCTTCCTGGAAAAAAATAAGAAAATTTATGGACCTTGTCAGACTTTCTAAAAATTGATACAACAGCAAGTTGAGTGGACTCAGAGGATGGGGTGTAGAAATGAATTTTTCATTTATTCTCTAGAAAGAGAGCTAGTTTAAATTTGCCAAGTATGATGTATGTTTTCCTTCCTCCATAAATCAACTCCCCTCTGAGGAATTTTAGATCTATATATTGATCTGCATGGCCATCGTCCCTCAAGTCTTTTCTCCATTAATCATCGAGTAATTTCCAGGAAAGGATGTTCACAGAGGCTGTTCACGCTCATGCTTCTAAAGTTGTCAGCAGACAACCATGCTTCCTGACCAGGCCAGAGGCTACCACTCTATGGAGGCCACTCCCTGTGAGAATAAAACTCAGTGACATCTTCTCTGCTGATCTACCCCAATGCCAACAACTGGCACCTGCCCTTTCCCGGTGGTCCTAAAAGAACAACAGAGAGGAAGGCCAGCCCTGGCATTCCCAGCAGCAGTAGGTCCTAGAAAGGTGCTGGGCAACAAACCGCAGTCCTCACAGAGAGTGATGGGGCCAAGGAGCCAGGAACCTCCTCCCAAAAGCCCAGGTAACAACTGGACAAGACTTGGGTGTCATGAGGTGCAGGAAAGATGTCACTAAATCTTTTCTTCGGCACAGAATGTTCCACGAAAATTTTTTACATAATCAGACTGCCTGAAATGGCACCAATTAGAGATTCATTTAAGAGCTTGTGGCTATTAATCATTCATACATTGGTGTCATTTAGATTCTGTCCATTGTTTTTCCCTTAATGCATAACTACGGTCAACTATTTTTTCTCTTAACACGGAACCACCTAAAGTTTAGAAGAAAGGAAGCAGGCAGAAAGAAGTGGGGAAAGTTGGATTTGGAGACCTGGCATTAAGCAGGGAGAGGTCGGGATAGGAATGCCTCAGAAAAACACAATGAGCAGCAGCTCGCTCAGTGTGAGGAGAAGGGGAGAGCATGGCCACAGGCATGGGACTCACCATCAGGAAGGGCAGAGAGGCCAGCGCAGTGCCCAGAGGGGCGGGGGCGGCCTCACCAGCGTCCGGTCCTGGAGAGCCTGGTGGACAAGGGTAAGCAGGCTGGTGTACAGCAGCCCCGGTAGAGCCATCAGGATATTGAAGTTCAGGCCCGCAGCCCCACATCTGAAATGTTCCAGAATTCAGAATCTTTCAGGTTTTAGAAATGCAATAATACTGTGCAGATACCATATAAAGAGCCTCACATCAGTTATGAAAGAACACGTGTTGCTTTTTGGATTTCAAATTTGCAGATACAAGTGCGCACAATCCTGAGAAGCAACGGTGGTTCGATAGGAAAGCCCCAGCCTTGTAGGCTAAAGGCTGGGGATTTATTTTATCTCTGCCACTCACTAGCTCAGGGGCCTTGGGTCACCCAATTATTACCTCTGAGCCTCAGTTTGCTAACCTGATCATGGGAATAATATACCTCAATTGCTTGTTAGGAGGATTCAGTGAAATAATGGGGAGTAAAGTGCTTTATAAAGTGCAAATTGCCATTTGAATTTAAGCTACTATCATTCATAACACTATCGGGAAAATGAAACCCCAAAAAAATGTACATAAAAGTGCTTTATTTTGTAAATCCCATAAAAAGTGGAGTTGTACTATTATTGTGAACCTCCTACCCCAAAGGGGACCTGGCTTCCCAGAGCTGAGAGAGTAACTCTTGCTGCGTAGCCAAGAGAAGCCTTCTAGAAGCCTTCAACCCTTCTGTCCAGCTTCCCTTCTCCAGTCAGTCCCCACCCCCTGCTGTGACTGGTTCCTAGTAGAGGACAGATGAATGAGAAAGGCAAGGAGCCCTGCTGAGGGCCCTGTCTAGAAACTGATGCACCTGCCTCAGAAGGCTTCCCGGGGAGAGGTGGGGCAGCCCACAGGGCAAGTGACCCACATCTGTCTCCTCTGAGGAACCCTCTGTTAGCCATCCCTGTCCGGGTCCCTGCAGCCTGGGGCAGTCAGAGCACCTGGGCTCAGACACCAGCCCTCGCCTCTCTGAGCACTGGGAGCCACAACTGTGCATTTAGAGTCATGGTACCTACCACAGTGGTGGTGGAGAGAAATCAGTGAGGATGTACTTGGAAACCCTCGATCTGTGGCAAAGCACGACTCAGACCTGAAGTCATGTGTTACTGGTGTGGGAAGGAGGGAGATGCCAGGGTAGCTCAGAAGCAGAAGTTCCGTGGTAATGAGATTGAGCTGCCAAAGTTTGCTGGGGAAACCAGACCCGTCCCAAGCAGGCTGGGGCAAGCAGGCTGCAAAAGCATCGCAAGCAGGCAAACTTCTCTTCCCTGAGCCCGGACAGACCATTCCAAGGTACTGTTGCGAGTGAGCGAGTGGAATCCTCAGCCCATTGGGCATCACATGAGTTATTTTCTGTCTTCTGTTCTGTTATGCTTTGTTTTGTAAGCCTGGATTTTTCTCAATTTATAGATTTGACTTTTATGTGTGTTACTGAGCCCTGGAAAGCTAACAGCATGGCACTTTACAGGATTGATGTTGTGTGTTTTAACTGTAAGCTGCTGAACCCACAGCACAGATGTACATCGAGTATTCCCCAGCCCTGCTTTCAGGGTGCACGGCTCAGGGCTGGAATGGGGTGGTGCCAGAGCCCCAACTCTGCCTGACCAGACCCACGTCTGAAATGGAGCCTGCGTGAGCATGTACTCTGTTGTGTATGCACTGAGGTTCTCCTTGCATTTTCTTATTTGGGAGTGACTGACTTCCCTTTGTCAACTAACTATTAAAGAGAGAAAATGTTTCCAAGAGACCTCACTGTAGAGACCAAGTGGTGAAATTCAAGGTGTGGCAGTCTCGGAATGGTTTCCTGCTGAGGACTGTAATGCAGAGATAAATGGCTGGTGGTTGTTTTTGACCTTTCCTTTACTCGTTTTAATCCCACTGTGCTTCCTGCTGGAATACTGCTTTTCTCCTAGACTAAAACAGGGATTTCCTAAAAGGAAATAGTAGCCAAAAATCTGTTCTTTTTTTTCTCTTCCCCATGGAATCCCTGCATCACAGAACAATTTGACAAAGACCACTTTTGCTGTAAACCCATTTATATCTTCTTTTATTTTAATTTGAGAGTTAATATGCACAGTATAATATGCATGATTTGAACTATATATTTTCCTCTACTGATGATGCCAGGACAGGTTGAAAATTTAGGAAGTGTACGATCATATCCATCCCCAAAACGTCTCCTTATCTATACTCAAAACTTCATCTTTACCTGTCTTTTTTTTTCTACATAGAAGTTTCTTTAAGGAGAAAATAGACACACCTTGTAATTATCACTGCTTAATAGTGACTTCATAACTACACGGGACACATCTCATATATTATAGAACAATGCTCTACTAATATTCTTAGCTTCGAGATGTAACCACAACTCCAGATACTGCATATTAAGGTCCTAAATCACCTGCACCTGCAAGTGGGGTGTTAGGACGACCTAAATAAATTACCTGGGATTTCCTCCTGCTTTGAAATTTCATTGTGACTGTTTTTAACATTTGACTGAGGCCTCGGGGACAATGGCGTTTGGCATTTTCTTGGGAAAACAAATTGATGACTTGCATTGTCTCTCCAGACCCAGGGGGCAGGCTCGCCTCGCTCCTCCCCCAGCCACACCGTCAGCAGGCCCATCCCCATGCCCGTGCGGTCGGCCTCCGCCTGCTCCACCCCGGCGCACACGCCTCAGGACTCGCTCACGGGGGTAGGGGGTGATGTACAGGAGGCGTTTGCACAAAGTAAGTGGCCTTATCTTCTGTTCTGTTCTGCTTTTATGTGACAAATAAGTCACCACGGTGTGTCAAGTGGTCTAAAGGCACCGGTATTCTAGGTTACTCCGTGGCTTCCATCGGAGCCTGGCCCAGGCGTGGTTTTAGAAACTCCCTAGGCTAATCTGACCTTCACCTCACCATTTTACCTTGCTGTGGCTTCTGTCGCCCGGTCCCATTTTTTATGAGTCTTTGCTCATTCAGGGAAGGGAAATCCTTTCACTAAAATCTCAGGGAACGTATCAAAGTAATCCATTTTTTAAATTCTGGTAGATCTTATTTCCCGCTGTCTTCTCTTTACCTGAAGGCAAACTGGAGATTGAGATCGAACAGTTCAGCTCTTTAGCCTGAGGGGATCGAGGACAGTTAGGCACATTGCAGACGCCCCGAAGAGCAGTCACTGCTGCGGTCAGACTGGGCTGCCCCTGTAGGCCTCTGTAGTTAGCAGAGCAAAGTGTGCAGGGAGAGGACGAAGTGGGGGGGGGGGGCCAGTGTTCTCCCACCGGCCGCCTCTTCCATTTATGCACAAAGGTGGTCGGGAAGGGGACTTGTCCCGAGGCAATTGATCTTACTCATCTAGAAACATTTTAACACGTTTTAAATTTTTTCTCAGCATTATTTTTAACCGTAGGGGTAATTGGGGAAAACACCCTCCAGGAGACCCTCAGCTCGCCTATCTCATTTTTAGAAGCAAACACTATTCACGGTTTGGTCCTTCTCAACTTTCTGCTTATGTATACTAATGTATACATTTAAGTGTGTTCATTTAGACACATACTCTTTATTTTCACACAAATAAGTGCATGCTTATTTTGGTCTGTGATTTGCATTTTCTTTAAATTGGCAATTTGTCGTGGCACCCTTCCATGTCCTCACATATAGATTCAAGGTAAAGAGAAACACTTTTTGACTACTAGTTCTAAGTCAAAAAGAAACATAAACTGAGTGAAAACACACAAAAAAATTAGACTTGAATAACCCATTACTCAACATATGTGGCAGTTAAGTTTCATAATTTCAGTTACACATAAAGCATATAGAGATCAGCAAAAGACATCCCCCAAATAAAAGTAGGCAAAGGACCTCAACAGACAGGAGAGGAAATATAAATTGCCAATAACAATGTGAAAACATGTTCCATCTCACAAATCACTGTAGAAATACAAAGTTGAATGAATGTCACCTTTTGTGTAGCATTTTTTTAATCCTTTTTAATATCAGTAAAATCCAGATAGAGAAACATGTAAGGAAACAAAAACTCCTCACAGGTGTGTGTGTGGGACAAACACTTATATTTTACCGGGCAAGGATGAAGCACTTTCTGTTACGAGGGAAAAGGGAAGATTCATAATAGTGCTTTTACTTCTGAAAAAGAAAATAATTTAAGTTAGACAAAATAACTTTCTTTTTAATTTTTAGAAAGAAAAATGTCCTTTCTCTAAATCTTACTTTAAGGAAATTTTAAATCAGATTGAACTTTTTCTTATATGTACTGTTTTATCTAACTTTGATTTCTTTAATTTTTTGTGTATTTATTATGTTACTTAGTTTTACTTCATGAGAAATGTCAGAATGAAATGTGGCCTAGTTTACAAAGGGCTTGTGCTGCATAAATTCATCTGTAAGTCAGGTATTTGGAATCGTGAGTCTTTTTTTCCAAAATTATGATGGTTAGCCCTCCGTCCCATCTCAACCTTGCCTGGTTCCCAGGCCAGCCCACAAATACCCGTTTAACCCTGAGTGTGCCTGAAACATCATCCTAATCTTTCTCTGCCATAAAGAAACATGGCCTAGCCTTGACCGGTGTGGCTGAGTTGGCTGGGCATTGTCCCACAGAGCAAAAGGTTGCCAGCTTGACTCCTGGTCTGGGTGCATGTCTGGGTTGCAGGTTCAGTCCTGTTGGGGTAGAGCGGGTGCTTACAAGAGGCAACCCATCGACGTTTCTCACATCTATGTTTCTCTCCCTCTCTCCTTCCCTTCCCCTCTCTCTAAAAATGAGTAATTAAAATCTAAAAAAATAAAAAAGTAAGAAACATGATGTAAGTTCCAGTTCAAGGTACCAGACAGACTCACATCTTTGTCCATGTCTTGGCAGCCAGAGCGAGTATCTTCTCCTTTTTCCCATATTCGGGGGCATTCAGTGCACAGGGTTCCCACTCCCAAAAGGAACCTGTAATGGGAAGAGGACCTCTGGCAGACCTGACTGGACACAGGGCTTTGTTGAGAGAGGTCCGAGTCTGGGGGGCTCAGCCACCAGGGGATGGCTGGAATGACAGTAGCAGCCAGGACGGTGCAGCTCTCCCACCGAAAGTGGGCTACTCATCGGTCTGGGTTATCCTCAAGAAGAGCTGGTTCACACATGCTGGTTTACCATCACTACTTGTCCCCCAGTCTTCTTATTAAGCCTCCCCCTTTCACTTGCAGAATTGTCCCAATTTGGACAATAAATTCCATGAACCCCCATTGGTTGCTGTGTCTTCCCACATCAGAGGCCACTGCCCTAAGCACAATGTACTTTTTTTTAAGGAAATGAACCAAAACACATCTAAACAGGAGAAGTCTGAAAGTTTTCTTGCTTTAGAATGGCAATGGAAATGATAAACAGCATAACATTTTGGAAAAAGGAAGAGCTTTGATTTTTTTTTTTTTTTACTTATTGTCATTTCTTCTCCACTTAAGGTTCAAGAAGAAATTTAAGGAATGACTTATTAGTGGCAGCGGATTCCATCACTAACACCATGTCCTCTCTTGTGAAAGAGCTGAATTCCGGTGCGTCCCTGGTACCCTCCTATTCATCTACTCACTGCAGAGGGACCCAAACGGGTTGTACTAGGGGCCTCTGCTAGAGACCTGCTCATTGTCGAATATGAAAAGACTTTTTAAAGATCTATGTGGTGTTTTGTTGCTATATTCAGATTTTTACACTAATGTTTATAGTTGATGATGAGAAGACTATTAATATATGCTTACTGCAGGAGGTTTAATAATTTAGAAAAGAATGGTAAAAATATTAAAATAGACTTATAATACAAGAAACCAGATAGTCACTGTTAATATCAATGATAATCCACCCTGGCTGGTGTAGCTCAGTGGATTGAGCTCCGGCCTGCGAACCAGACAATCGCTGTTCGATTCCCAGTCAGGGCACATCCCTGGGTTGCAGACCAGTTCCCTGCAGGCCAGTTCCCAGCAGGGGACGCACGAAAGGCAACCATACATTGATGTTTCTCTCCCTCTCTCCTTCCCTTCCCCTCTAAAGATAAATAAATAAAATATTTGTAAAAAAAATATCAATGATAATCCAAAGTGACATTATACAGAAGTTATTTCATAAGGTCAAATTTTTTTTTTGCTAATTTATACTCTGTTCATTAGGAATCAACAGCCAATTAGCTTTGCAGTATCTCTCAGGAAAGATGTGCCCATATTATAAATAGCACAAAATTGTACATTCATTCTAATAATACTATACAGAGTTTTAAAAACTTTAACAGCGTGAATAGTCAAATAACTATCTTCCCAGTTTCTAATGCAGCTCATCTGTTCCTTAAAGTGCACTTAGCAAGATGTTTGCCTGGCAGGACTGCGGTCATGTACTTGGAATTACAACAACTATAAGAAATAAAACTTCAGAATTAAAATAAATCTGGATTTAAATGTCTTAAAACCTCTATAATAAGAATTAAAGTAATGAAAATTGTTGCTGCTATTTTAGGATAAGATTGCCAAATACTATAAAAATGACAGTAGCTAACATATCATGGTAATGGTATGTACCTGCTGCCCCAGCAAGTGGTGACTAAAAAAGTTATTGTAGAAGTCTCAAGTATTGTTAGCTAATACTCTTATAATGCTTCGAAACACTAAGTGAATGTAATACTTCAGGTTTGTTTTCCTAAATTAAAGTGTTATTAAACAAAAGTAACAGATTTAATAAAAAATTCTGTAAAGGAGCAAAAATAGGAGTTTTCAATTATTAGGACAATAAAGATTCCTCATTACATTACTGAGATCAAAAAAAGAGACTGTACTGTATAGAAAACTATTTTACAGTAATTCACGTCAAGTTTCAATTCTCATGTGGAGTTGAAAGAAACACTTGACTTACATACAATAACTGGTTAATGGTCATATAGCACAGGTTGATTTACACTAGGCCTAACCTTTTATTTGCCAGTCATAAAAACTCTAACAAGTCATTCTTTATTTCGTCTATTCTACCTCACAGAGGTAGGGAGCGAAACAGAGAGCAATGTGGATTCTGAATTCGGACGAACTCAATTTGAGGATCTGGTTCCATCACCAACCTCGGAAAAGGCTTTTCTCGCACAAATCCATGCCCGGAAACCCGGGTACATTCACGGCAGAGCTACCCCAAGCACCATGCACAGTGACGTGTGAGTATCTTCTGCTTGGGCTATTTTTCAGTAACAGAACACTGCAGGGAGCGTAGGAACAAGGAACGTGTTTGCTTCATTTTTTATTTTGAAAAGAGATGATGCAGCTTCCTTTTCTGCCAGAAGAAGTAGATGGGCTCTACATTTAAATTTGGCATTGGGACTTCCCCCCTCACAATTTCCAGAGAATATCCGTAACCAAAACCAACCAGTACTTACTGGACACAGTAACTAGCACTGTACTGTCACCCAAGGTACTGCGCTAATTTTATACAAAATACGATAAAAAAAATATATACCACTCCCAGCCTTCCAGGACTCACAGACTAGTTCAAGAGATAGGTCATACTATCTTCTGAATTTTCTGTAGTTCCACTTGGAGGACCCCATGATGCTAGAGAGGCCTCTGTCCGGGTTGGGATGAACATCACATAAGCAATAGGAACTGAAACAAGTCCATCCATGCTCCACTTCATAACAGGGATATGTTCTGGAAAGTGATGCATCATTACACAATTTCATCATTGTACAAACATCATAAAGTGCACTTAGACGAAGCAAGATGGCAGAGCCTAGTATGCACGTAGGCTGTGTGGTAAAGCCTATAGTTTCTAGGCCGTAAGCCTGAACAGCATGTCACTGTAGATGAAATCTCATTAAAACATGAGACTGAATCGAGCACAAGGGAAAATGATGCAATCAAAAGACAAAGTAAACATGAGACCTTCGGGGCTGTTGCTGCCATAACACAGCATACTGTTTAACAGCACACTTTTTATAAGTAGAAAATAACACTAAAATATACAGTAAAAACAAAGCCAGTAACACAGTCATGTATTGTCATGATCAAACATTATGTACCATACATACAACTGGCAGAGCAGGTTTGTTTACACCAGCATCACCACAAGCACATGAGTAGTGTGTCACACTATGATGTGATGACAGCTGCAATGTCACTAGACAGCAAGGATCTTTCAGTTCCATTATCTTATGGGGCCACTGTAGTATATGTAGTTGGTTCCTGACCAAAACACTGTTACGCCGCACACAAGTGTAAATGTATGAAATCTCATTTTAAAGAAATGCAATTTAGTTGACTTGTTAAATATGTGTAAATCTGACTCTCAAAAGACATTTTGCAAAGGTTTTCACTCAGTTGGGCTTCCAGTCCTGGGTAGGAGCCCGCGGAACCAGAAATGCCCCCACCGGACTTCTGTGATGCTGGATCAGCTCTAAGTAGTCAGACAGAGGAAGCCAAAGCTGAAAGACACAGAGGTGAGGCTAGGGCAGCCTGCAGAGCCCAGCTTCGGGGGGAGAAAGAGTAAAACAAAGGAAGACAAGGATGCGGGGCCTTCAGGAGAGTGAGGTGTGCGGAGGTGGGAGGAGTGTGGGCAGAGGTTCACCGAAAGGCTGGAAAGGTAGTGGCTAACCATTCAAAAAACTACAAAAGAGTGACTTCCGCCAAGATGGAGGCATAGGTGGAAACACCTTGCATCCTCATACAGCCAAATCTAAAAATAACAAAGTTTTAACAACAATAAACACAACCAAACCACACAGAAAATCAACAATACGGAGTCCGAAAACAATGAAATGCTCAGCTAAACTGGCACAAACAGATCAAAACATGGCTCAAGAACAACTCAGAGCCCCAGAGCCCATAAATCTAAGCGATGAAGAAATAGCCAAACTTTCAGATGCACAGTTCAAAAGACTGGTGATCAGGATCCTCACAGAACTGGTTGATTTTAGGCACAAATTAGAGGAACATATGGAGGCTAAACTAATTAAAATGAATGGCAATACACAGGAAACCAATAGTAATGGAAAGGAAACTGGGACTCAAATCAAGGGAGCAGACCAGAAGGGAGGAAAAAATGACCAAACAGAAAAGAATGAAGAAACAAGAATTCAAAAAAATGAGGAGAGGTTTAGGAACCTCCAGGACATCTTTAAATGTTCCAACATTCAAATTATAGGGGTACCAGAAGGGGAAGAGGAACAGCCACCAGTGGAAACCTTATTTGAACAAATAATAAAGGAGAACTTCCCCAATCTGGCAAAGGAAATAGACTTCCAGGAAATCCAGGAAGCTCAGAGAGTCCCAAAGAAGTTAGACCCAAGAAGGAACACACCAAGGCACATCATCATTACATTAGCCAAGATTAAAATGAAGGAGAGAATCCTAGAAGCAGCAAGAGATAAGGGGACAGTCACCTACAAAGGAGTTCTTATCAGACTGTCAGCTGATTTCTCAAAAGAGACTTTACAGGCAAGAAGGGGCTGGAAAGAGGTATTCCAAGTCATGAAAACCAAAGACCTACAACCAAGATTGCTCTATCCAGCAAAGTTTTCATTTAGAATGGAAGGACAGGTAAAGTGCTTCTCAGATAAGACCAAATTCAAGGAGTTCATCATCACCAAGCCCTTATTATATGAAATGTTAAAGGGACTTACCTAAGAAAAAGAAGATAAAAAAGATGAACAGTGAAAGGACAGCAAACTCACAGTTATTAAGAACACCCCTAAAACAAAAGCAAATTAAGAGGATAGCTAGATCAGGAGTGAACCATAGAAATGAAGATCACGTGGAGGGTTAGCAACAGGGGAGTAGGAGAAGGAGAAGGGGGGAGAAGGTACAGAAAATAAGTAGCATTGACAGTAGATAGAAAATAGATAGGGGGAGGGTAAGAATAGTAGGGGAAATACAGAATCTAAAGAACTTGAGACACGTGTTCATGAACTAAAGGGGGGGATGGTGGGGGAGGGGTGTGTAGGGTGGAGGGGAATGGAGGGGGAAAATAGAACAAATGTAATGGCATAATCAATAAAAAAACAAACAAAAAAACTACAGAAGAGTGATGGAGCTTAATGTGCAGAGCACTGCAGTCTACAAAAATAAAGTGGCTGTGTTAAGGACCCAAAGAAGAAACTAAACAGAGGCCTTTCTGGTGTTTTGGCTCCCAGGCCAAGCAGTGGGTAAAAGACCAGAAATAATGAGGAATTATAAATAGACATGCTTTGAAAGCAGCTGGGAAAACGTAGAGCATAAGATCAGAACGAGAGCATTATTACATAATTTTACATGGCAGTGGGCTGCTGCTTTTAATCTTGTTTGCTCTTTTGTTCTTTCCTCTATGATTTAGAATTATTTGATTTGTTCATTATTTAAAATGATGAAGTAATTTTCATCACTTCAGTCTGGTAAACACATATCTATTTGGCTTTCTATAATTAAGCATTCACATGGTGGTTACTTAAAAATGTCTCACTCCAACGCTAAGATCCAAGACCGTGGCTAAAGCCACCTCACTCTCCTGTCACCAGTCTGCTGGTGGCAGTTCCAGCTTCCAGTACTGCCGTGGGAGTTGGGGAGAGAAAGTTCATAGAGGCCTCACGGACCTATTTATCTTGACCCCAAACCTCTAAAAATAATGAGAACGTGTTGTACAGTTATAAATAAACATGAGCAGTGGCATTTAAGTTCCCATCCAGAAACTTCTCCTTGACTAGTCTTTTAATTTTAGGGGATATTTTACTCATCTGTACTATCTAAACAGGTACTGTGTTTTACCCTGAGAGTATTTTAGTCATATAATTTAGGTAGTGAATTTACATTCTAGGAACTTTATATATATTAGGATGAATACATGGAGAAAGAGTCACACAACAGTGAGCGAGGTAATTCTTACGTGTTTATATCACAGTGAAATTGGACAATTTAAATGGATTTCTTAGATTAAGAGCTAGCATAAATGTTAAAGGTCAAAAGCTATGGGTTAAAGTATTAGCCTCCCTCACACTGATTGGCTGATATGCTGAGACTGGATTCCAGGATGAAATAAAGCATGTTAGCGCACACGCCTGCACACGTGCACCACACAGAGAGGGTTTAAGTTGTGAACAAATGTCCTTAATTTTTATTTCACTAGAGGGCTCACTTTCCTTATAGAAAGTGTTCTTGGAATCCATTTAAAGAAAGCCACCAGATTAGGAAAACTATATCTGTCCAAAAGATAAGCCTGGCTTTTTTAAGACTGACAAACATTTAAAGGGCAACTTGTAAACCCTAGAAAAATTAAATGATTAATGATCACCAGAGAGCTGTAGAAAAATCGCATATGAGAATTCGGCGATTATATATTTCCCTAAACTTCTGAAGACTTGGGGGGGGTTGTTTTTTGTTTGTTTGTTTTTAAGTTTTATGTTAGGTAACAGAAGATGCTGAGTTGAAGTGAATTGGAGGACAAGGTAAATGTGCCTCCCAAACCCCATGTGTGGTTTATTCCAGGGTCACGGAAGATGGGGATCCCTACGTGCGGCCCGAGGACGAGAACTATGAGAACGACTCAGTCCGGCAGCTGGAGAACGAGCTCAAGATGGAGGAGTACCTGAAGCAGAAGCTGCAGGACGAAGCCTATCAGGTACCGGGAGCCAGGCCCACTCCACCCCCCACCTCTGCTCCAGCCCCTCCGAGGCTGGCCTCCTACATTACTCAAAAAAACCAGAGCCTTCTCCTGCCTCCCACCCTCCCTTTCTGGAATATTCTGACTACTCAGTCCATGTATTCTAGACACTAGAAATTTCAAATACTTCTAACAGCTGTCACTCACCATGTGTTATAAATTCTGACCTGGGAAGTGCAAGGAGGCCCTTGTCACATCAGCAGAAATGGGGTGACTAACAGTCCATCCTCCTCTAATACCATCAGGGAAGATGCTTTTTCTCGTAGATGGGAAAAAGGTGCAGAGGACAAGGCTCGAGGAAATCGGATAAGCATAAATCTCTCTCCTCCCTTTACTCATTTGTCCTCAGCCTCCCTCACCACCTGTCTCATATCAAACATAAATAATAGGCAAGCGACAGATCTCACAAAGAAGTGTTGGGGGGACCACAGGCTCCAGGTTCAGCAGAGTGTGGATGGACAGGTTGTCATATATATTGGACTGTATTAAGCCATCTGAGAATGCATTCAACATAACATGCAAGTGTAATTAGTAACTCATCCTAAAGGGAAACCATTGTCCCCATGGAGACTGCTCTAGTGCCATATTTGTCTATCTTACATGTTTCCTTTGTCTGTAATCCACCCATGTTTTCTTGGTGTGCTCGGATCCAGGGATGTTTGCCTGTTTGAGACCAGCCACTCCTCAGGCCTGTGTTTATTATATTGTCAGGTTTTCTGTCCAATGGCCAGAGATCTTTCTCCACATTTCTAGGTCAGCAGTAGCTTCTCTCTTACTCTGTGAGTGAAAGAAAGAGAAGCCAAGGGAATAAATTATCTCCTATTTCTCCTATGTTTATAGATTAAGTTTTGAAATATTTTCCCAAGAAGAATGTAGCAAAAGGGAAATTGAAGCCCACCACCCCCACGGAAGCAGTACGAAACAAAAGTCTTGCCTCTTTGGAATGTTCCATTCGCCCTTTTGGTTTAACAACCACGTTTCAGAAGCAAGTAAAATGTTGGTCTAGTTATACACAAAAATAGCCAGAACAGTGGCTTTACTGCATCTGTAGTACCGTGCTTCAACGGCGCAGAAAAGGTCGAAGTCCCTGAAGTACAGACCCATGGAGAAGGCCCTTTCTTCGTGATTTCTGTGGCCTGTCCATGGAAGAAAATTAGCCTGGATGAAGCTGCCAGGGCATCTCTGGGAGCTCCAAGGGACGTTCCATACATAGCTCACTTGGTTCTGCCACACAGGGGGAGAGAGGGATGTGGTTAAACCGTCCATGCTCTGGTTCATGCTGATGAAGGCACTGTTAGGCCTCCCTCCTGGAGCTCATATCAGTTTCTGGATTTGGGTGGCAACAGTTACTGAAATTCTAGGGTTTATTTTTTTTTTTAATGAACTAGGAATTTAACCATGTATTAGTGAAATGAAGGGAAGGAAATTCTATGAATAGCTTAAGATCCAGTTGGTAAGTCTTAAGCTGCTTCTCTCTCTCCTTTCCTTTCCAATGCCCAGTGACTTCAGAGAAAAGGCAAAGAAAGGGGCTAGGAGAATATAACAGGCCTGAGTGTCCCCACGCAAGCCTGGGTGCCCTGGAGAACGTCGAAGCGATTTTCCTTGACTGCTCTTTGAGCGTACGGTTGTTTCATGGATCGGAATGCTACTGTCATTCATTGCCCTCTCTCTTTCTGTCTTTGTGCATGGCTTCCAACCAAATAATTCACCAGCTTGACTGCAGCACAGACTTGACATGTCACCTTTCTTGTTTGTGTCCTTTGTCACCCACAGGTCAGCTTGCAAGGTTGAATACAATATCCTTTTATCACTCTCCTCTCAAGTAAGTACCCTCTCATTTAGGAGGAAATGTGGCCACTGTTCACCGAGTTCTCATAACCTGCAACCCGAATTCACAGTCACTCTCTCTTAGGTATTTCTCTGTGATAAAATAACCCTCCTTCCCTGCTTTTCTCAAAGGATCATCCCAGTCTATGGGGTATTTCATTACAATCCAGTGGAGACTTGGCAACCCTTGGGACTTGACTTTGTAACTCTGTTAATTAGGAAAAATGGCACAGAAACTTCTATAACACCAGATGCGCCCCAGCAATATGCTGTGGCTACGAAGCCACATCACTAGTCCCTCCCAGCACCCACGTTTTAGCCTCTCTGTCACCTGAGAAGGAAAAGTCCAAGCTGGCTCAGCACTCCCAGAGATGAGTCAGCTCCTTAGTCACACTGTCCAGTAGGCTCAAGATATGTCCTTAACAAGTAAAAGCAAAACTGAAACAAAAGCAAAAACCAAAGAAGCAAAACATAGAGGAAAGCTTCTGCAGCCTTTTATTTTTGCAATAGCTAATTCAAGTCCTTGGCAGAATTCAGGCAGCTGTAACAATAAAAGTATCATTTAGGTGGCAGGTGACCCTTTTCTCCTGAGGACCCACCTACATACACGGAAGGGCCTCCGTAACTTTTTAATGGAGAAAGAACAGCATCGGCTGGCAGGATCACATGAGGCTGGTGGTCTGAAGCTTAGGCTGTGGACTCTGATAGACCCAGTTTCATATGAGAGTTTCACCAAATTTTAGCAGCATAACCTTGGACAAATTATTAAACCTCGATGAGCCTCCATACCCTCTGTACAACATACATAATAATACCTACATCATAGAGCAGTTGTCCTCACTGATACATAGTTTTTAAAGAGCTTAACATAGTGGCAGGCACACTGTAATTTTAATGAGCACACTCATACATGCCCAATTCTGTGCTCAGGGCTTTACAAGGGATTTAATCACTGGAAGCTGCTGTAGTTATAATGTAAGTGCATAGGCACCCCTGGGACTCAGAACTAGCTTGCTCCCTCTATTTTTAATAAGCAAGGCTAGGACCTAGCTATGTGCAATGATTCGATTCCCCTGCAGCTAACTGTCCCATAAGTCTAAACGGTTTCTCTGGCTCCAGCTAATGGCCACTTAGATGTCCCTCAGTACAGCTCTAAGCGAGTATATCTCTCACAAGTTATTTAGTTTCACTTGTATCTACTGTTATTACACAGCCTTTTCCAACCATGGAGTGAGTCCCCTAAGTCTGGCTGCTGGATTGAAAAAAGGATATATATATCTCCATATCCTAAATGGCATAAATTAGTAAAGAATACATTCAAGCTCAAACACTACATACCTCCTGTCTTAGTCCTCAGGTTAAGATTAAGGAAGTAAAAAATCACAGTACAGTTGCTATTATGATACATAGTTTTGGAACTGTTAGGCCCTTTTGGTGTGAACAGAAGAACCTTACTGATCCCACTGTATTCTGCCCTCCTTGGACTGAAGAAGGCTACACCTGATACATCATAATGGGTCAGTGAAAAAAAATCTCAGGAGCCATTTCTGAAAATATTCTCCCCAGTTATAACAAATCTAGTCCCAAAGGAGCAAGCTTTTCCCTTTAATAGCATTTTCTTTCTCTTAGCTCCAGCAATTTGGTGGTGTTCTGCATGTTATTTAAACAACAGTAGTTACTTAGAAAAATATATTTTTAAAGCCTAATAAATTACCCTTGACATAAACCCAGATAAAAAGTGGCATTTGGTTCTTGTACCTAAAAGCCAAATATTTCAGTGCTTTGAAAGTTCTTAGGCAATTTTTTATCTCCAGTAAAAATTTGGCAGTAAAAAATTAATGCAGCTGCGGCCTCTGCCATTTAATGTGTCCTGTATCCACGTACCTGGCATCCCACAGGTCTCTAAACATGAACCAGCCTGTTACGATATCAGCCACTCGGGCAAAATTCATTTAAAACCTGCTAAAACCCTGCAGAAGCTAGTGGCTTTTCTTCTTTGTAGCTAGTTTTATCCTACTGTAATTTTCCTTGATGTAGCCAAGAAATACAGCTGAAATTTTAGAGAAGTTTATGGTATTGAAATCTATTTGTATGGCCATCTGACTACACTACAAGGCCAGATATTATCCCAAACTATACGCATCTCTGATCCAAGTGTCCTAAACGAACTTCCTCAGCTCCAAGCCGATTAGGCTGCCACCAACAGAGCCTGTAAGGGTCATGAACTGGAACCCGTCACTTGCTCAAAAGGAGCCTTAGGCCTGTTTAAAAATAAATATGCACTTATCAACACAAAACCAATAAAACCTAGTTTATTGCTTTTCAACTAGCTGCTTTGGAAGAAACAGTACCCATAGGATTAGTAGTCAACTTTGCGTACAACAAAACCCCATTTCGACCTACTCAAATCTTGGATTCCTCCCTTTTCCATCCCTCTGGCCATGTGGTCTTTCTCCTTGGCCAGCCACAGCCTGACTTCAGAAATTGGGGGATTTGAAGATCAAAAATAGATTTAAAAAAGTATTAATTAGCCTGGTATTCTGATGGTGAGTCAGTGTGCTCATACCTCCTTGTCTAAAGGACAGCTTCACACTGCTTTAACCTTTCAGATACCCACTGAGCAAGAGACTCGACATGAGCATTCTGGTCCTCTCTTTCAGAAGGTACAATAACTAGCACACCATGTCCCAGGACATTTGTTCCTGATTCTCAAAGGAAGGGAGGGGAGAGAAAGTGAGAGAGAGAGAGAGAGAGAGAGAGAGAGTGTGTGTGTGTGTGTGTGTGTGTGTTGGGGTAAAGGGGGACCCTTAGCTTCCTAATTCTGATTCAGAGAACAGTTTTCATCTTTTAAAAAAAATCACACATTCCTTATTCCCAGGCAAACTATAGTCAGACAGATGATGAAAATAACATGAGAGCTGATGATGAAGGGGAGCGCTGCACCCACCCACACAGAGGAGAAGACAGCAGCCTGGCCGCCACCTCACCGAAGAGAGGAGCCGCCACACGCACCTGCTCCTGACAGACCCCCTCCCCCAGAGACGTTTTCCACTGACTGTAGTGCAGCTAACATTTTGTTCTAAGATTTGTAGATCATAGTTGTGTGTGTTTTAAAAAAGGAAAGAAAAAAAGAGACTTCGGTTCACAGCTCACTTATCAACCACATCTTCTGTAACATGGCTCATCCCTGGTTTAAAACGAACAAAAGACCCACAGGCTGGAAACCCACGCTGCTGTTGCTCACGACGGCAGCGTTAATAAGCATTTTAAACCTTTGCACATGATATTGAACCTGTTCAGTTTACAGTGACAATACTAATACTGTTTATAGCTAGAAGTTTGATTTCTGAATTCTTTGAGATTTTAGCAAAACAGTTTATTATACAATGTACATTTTTTTTCCACAGCAATTGGGAAAAAACAACCACTTGCAATTATTCTTGACCCTGATGGATTTGGTTCCTGGGTGTACAGACTCGGAGCCCAGAAGCCAAGAAGGGTCCTTGGCCTGCACTCTCTGCCCTTGTCACCAAGTCTCTGTGAGCAGTGACTTGAAGCAAACCTACCAGGAAAATGCAGTCTTTGGGGCTTCTTTCCAACTTGAGGTTGTTTTCTTTCAAGATATTCTAGCAAATCAGCCATAGAATTTAGTGTAAATATTTTTTCCAAATAGATGTCATATTCAAAAACAGACAACATTCGAATTCTATAGAATCTAGTTTTTAAAATCAGCACAGATCTTCTTAAAAACTGTGAACTATGTTTTGAAATAATCGTTACTAAAGCTGTTTATAAACCACAGGTGCCATAAGATCCCCACACGGACTAAAGTGATCTCTGCTCTTCCACAGTCCTGTTCCTCTCGTTTTAGCTTTAGGGAGCATGTCTCTAACAGCACCGCTCATCCACAAGTTCCCCTATCAGGTTGTTTGGAGGCCTTCAGCTTTAATTGTACAGGCTTAAAAAGTGCGCTTGCAAAAATGTTCACTCTCCTTTTATTTCTGAATGTGTATTGCCTTAGCTGGCTACCTGGTATTCTGCATGCAGCCTTCTGTGGTCACGTGAAAGGGAACAGCCTCTGCTAAGTTGAGTTGGGATTTTGCACTCAGGGAAAAAAGCTGGTGTGCAAAAGAAATGTCAAAGAAGGGAGAACGGAAGACTGTTGATGGTCCTTTATGAGGACCCTTTTGGGGGAGTACTAAAGACCTCCCTTGGGGATTCTTGGGAACTGAAAAAATAACCTTTATCAAGAAATGATTAAATAAAAATCCTGCAGCATATTAGATGCATTATACTCAAATTGGCAGCTTCTCTGAAATTCCTGCTGCTCCTTTAAAAGAAAGAAGACAACATCATTTTAAGACAATGTTTCTCAAAGTGTGTTCCCTGGACCAGAAAGCATCAGCATCCCCTGGGAATTTATTTAGAAATGCAAATTCTTGGGCCCCAGCCCAGGCCTACTGAGTCAGTAATTCTGGGTGGGTGCTGGGAGGGGGGAGTTGGGGGGGTGGCAGCAATCTGTGTTTTAATAAACCTCCAGGTGATTCTGGTGCCTGCTAAAGGTTGAGAACCACTGCTTTAGAATGAAGTTGTATAATAAAATCTCTGAAAAGGCCTTATTCAAAGTAAGTAAGACAGGCTCTGTGTCAAGCTTAAAACTTCAGCAACTTGATTTTGCTTCCATGGCTGGCCGCAACCTTCGCCCACCCCACATAGTTGGTAGTTAATGAGTACCCAGCTGACAGCAGGTGTCCTGACATCTTCCAGCTCCCTCTCCAGCGGGCTCTACGATGTTCCCATCTCTGCATTTGGTCAGAAACGGAATCACATGCCTTAGGGATAGTTAAGCTCTTGGTCGGCATTAGTAAGGAGCCCATTCTACCCATTGACACACTCAATCATACTTCCTTCCAGAGAACCAGTCTGACAAATGTCCTTGAGAACAGGCTGACACCAAAGTGGCACAACTGCACAGTTCTCAGATTTTTTGCACAGATAGATTTTTATTGCGGGTTTTGTTGGTATATCTTAATGTTCATCTCCTTTCCACTGCCCATCTTCTGTGAAACCGTACCTCTCTAGATGGAGCAGGTGGTCCCGGGTGCCTCGTACTCAGTACTTACAACCACTACATCCCAGCTACTTACATTGCTGTCAGCTCTAACTCATAGCCAGGTAGTTCTTGAACTCAGAACTCTGACCCTGTGAGTGGCATGCAGCCACTGACTGGAATGAGCTGAATGACACTGTTGTCACTGTGTTTCTATATCAGAATGTTTGTCTAAGGTTTGAACTGTTTTGCTGATGATCTTCCCCCTTGTTGTAGCTTTCATTGCCAACTCCATCACACGGTTGTTGATACCATCCTGCAAAGCCATTGCAAGGTCTCTAGAAACTGCTGCCAATGACCAGTTCCTGACTAACCAGCCACCTTTTCTTTCTCTTAGCTCCACGTCAGCACTGAGACCAGACTCAAGCACCCCTCTCCTGTAATCGAGACAAAATGGCGTGTGTTGTTTTGGGCTTTTGTGGTTTTTGGTGGGTTTCTTTCCTTGGCTCTCCAAATTTACTTTTGGGGCCTGTTCTGAGAGCAAACCCAGCAGGTATTACCTGTCCTGTCCATTAAGTACAGTTATATCTTGGGGAGGGGGGTTTCTTTCTTGTTCCACGATGAATTGCACATGCATTTCCATCAGAGATGATGGCCTATTAATGAGCACTGGGCTAACACAGCCAGCCCTCCTCCACAATGCCATATTCATGGAGGGAAGGAGGAGGGTGAAATCTACTGTATGGGATTCAGGAATCAGTTGTGGTTGGTCAGGACGGAAGTCGGGGTAAGTTTGGTTGGTCAGAGGGAGATGTGCTGGAGATTGTGAAAAATGGATTCTCGAATGATAAGGCAGGGAAGGTTCATTTGTAAGTAGTAATGTGAACTTAATTGCATAAGAGTGTGGCCTTTGTTGTGATATACTATGTATTTTCTTAGTATGCATGAGCCAAACTGTTGCATCATAATTTAGCACTGACGTCTGCTTTTATTTTGATCACCTTTGTCCACCCTTATTAGTTCTTGGCTGTTAACTGTAGATAAACATTGTAAATACGGCAACTTTGGGTTGCTGCAGTCACCTTGATTTGATTCCGCGCAAGGAGCCACAAACAAGAACTCCACTGTGTCCTCAGAAGAAAGGGCATTTTTACTTTTGAACCAAAAAGAGAAAAAAATCAGAAGCATTATATCTTGAGGCTAATTAACTGTAAGACATTTTTAATTATGACTACTGCAATTTGACAGCATTCAAAGTAACCAATTCAGAAACCCTAAATATTTCACAACGTTCATTGGTATTGTAACAAAACAGTTATTGTATGGGGTTTTTGTATTGCTGTTAAGTATTGTTTTGTGTGTGTGTGCGTGTGTGTGTGTGTGTGTGTGTGTGTGATGGAACCTCCTGGGGACATGTTATATTTTGAAGTGATTAAACTATTTAATTGTGTGTCTATATTTTGGAATGGAATTATTTCTTCATTAAAAAATGTTTTTAAAAACACTATATCTTGTGTACTTTACTCCATTTCAGTAACTCTTTCCTAAAGGAACATGATCTCTGTCTGGTCAAAGGAGAAACCAAGTCAGTATTTGCAGTGTGAAGCAGGATCTGTCAATTGGGTATTAAGCAATGGAGGCAAAATATCTCACCTTTGATAACACGATTTTATTTTTAATGGAAAGCCTTGTTACAGTCAATATGGGGGGGGTTGAGTCACAAACACCTAACATAGTTAGTGCTTACTTTATTTTTTAAATATATCTTATTGATTATGCTATTATTGTTCTCCAATTCCCCCCCCCTTTATTCCCCTCCACCCTGCACACCCCCTCCTACCTACATCCCCTCGCTTTAGTTCATGTCCATGGGTCATACATATAAGTTCTTTGTCTTCTACATTTCCTATACTATTCTTACCCTCCCCTTGTATATTTTCTACCAACCATTTATGCTACTTATTCTCTGTACCTTTTCCCCCCTCTCTCCCCTTCCCAATTCCCTGCTGATAACCCTCCATGTGATCTCCATTTCTGTGTTTCTGTTCCTGTTCTAGTTCTTTGCTGAATCTGTTTTTTTATAATGCTCAGTTGTTAATAGCTGTGAGTTTGATCTCATTTTACTGTTCATACTTTTGATATTATTTTTCTTAGATAAGTCCCTTTAACATTTCATATAATAAGGGCTGGGTGATGATGAATTCCTTTAACTTGACCTTATCTGGGAAGCACTTTATCTGCCCTTCCATTCTAAATGGAAGCTTTGCTGGATAGAGTAATCTTGGATGCAGGTTCTTGCCTTTCATGATTTGGAATACTTCTTTCCAGCCCCTTCTTGCCTGTAAGGTTTATTTTGAGAAATCAGTTGAAAGTCTTATGGAAACTCCTTTTTAAGTAACTGTCTCCTTTTTTCTTGGTGCTTTTAAGATTTTCTCCTTATCTTTCACCTTGGCTAATATAATGATGATGTTCCGTGGTGTGTTCCTCCTTAGATTCAACTTCTTTGGGACTCTGAGCTTCCTGGACTTCCTGAAAGTCTATTTTCTTTGCCAGATTGAAGAAGTTCTCCTTCATTATTTGTTCAAACAACTTTTCTACTTATTGCTCTTCCTCTTCTCTTTCTGGCAGCCCTGATTCAGATGTTGGAACGTTTAAAGATGTCCTGGAGGTTCCTAAGCCTCTCTTCATTTTTTTGAATTTTTGTTTCTTCATTCTGTTCTGGTTGAATGTTTCTTTCTTCCATCTGCTCCAAATCATTGCTTTGAGTCCTGGTTTCCTTCCTGTCACTGTTGGTTTCCTGTAGATTTTTATTTCACATAATGCAAACTTCATTTCTGTCTGAGTCTTTTTTTATGCTGCTGAAGTACCCAGTGAGTTACAGGGAGCATCCTGATAACCCGTGCTTTGAACCATGCATCTGATAGGTTGGCTATCTCTTCATTACTTAGTTGTATTTTTTCTGGAGTTTTGAACTATTCTTTCATTTGGAACATTTTTTTTTCCTTTTTTTGTCTCAGCACAACTGTTACATAGTAAGGGGCAGAGTCTTAGATGTTCACCAGGGCGGGGCAACCCATGTTGGTGCGTCCTGACACTGTATGTGGGGGAGGGGTCTGAGAGGGAACAGTGCTGCTCACTCCTCTCTCTCCCAGTTTTCAGTCACTTCCCCTGCTATCCACAGTCAAATTGGGTCCTTCTGGTGCTGATTCCCAGTGGGTGGGTTTGCGTGAGTTCTAGGACCCTGTGGGTCTCTCCAACAAACTCTCCTGTGAGGCTGAGAGTTTCTCCCACTGCTGCCTCAACCCCCATAGGTGTTTTCAGTCAGAAGTTTTGAGACTTCATTTCCCCACGCCGAAGCCCTGGGTTGTGCGGTCTGTCTCTCTCCCTGGTTGTTCCTCATGGTTTATCTGCATGTGAATGTGGGACCACCCAGTCTGCCAGCTGCCACCCTGCCCACCCTGGACCTCCAGCCACTGCCTTGCCACTAAGCCCCTCTGCCCTTCCTCCTGGTCTGGATCAATGTTTCTTCTTTAACTCCTTGGTTGTTGGACTTCCATGCAGTTCAATTTTTCTAGCAGTTCTGGTTGATTTCAGTTTCTAAGTTGTTTCTGTCCTTCTTTTGGTTGTGCGAGGAGGCACAGTGTGTCTACCTATACCTCCATCTTGGCTAGAAGTTGAATTTTGTTTATTAATTAATTTACTCATTCAAAAATATCTGAACGTCTTCTGAATATAAGGGAGTCATCCTAGGCCTTTTTGCATAATAATTGTTGATAATTATGCTTTGATCAGTGCCTGCTCAAGTGGACAGAGTTTAGTAGACTCCAGCAAGATTCAAGTATAAAGTACCAGCAGTGCAGAGGCCTAGTGCTTACTTTATATCAGACACTGTTATAAGTATTTTATGTTACTCTATTTGATTCTGTGAATCCACAGCATTTAACCAATTACTTGGCAAATATTACATGTTCAACATGTTGAATTAATGAATAAATGAACCGGTGGCTTTTGTCTTGCTTGTACTAGAGCTAGTGAGAAAGGAGAATCAGCACCTGGAGGTCAATGTGGTGATAGCAAGAAGATGCAAGAGTTCCAAGGAAGGGACAGAAACTCAGAGCGTTGCCTGCCACTCCCTACATTCTCATTTTTCCTCTGAGAACCTCTGTGATTCCCATGTAATGGAGTGTTGTATGTTTTCTTTGCTCAAGGAGCCAATTCCTTTACAGAACCATTAGCAGAATCTGAGTCTGGCTCCAATAGTTCTTGAATGGCACTTTGGGGAACTCTGACTTGGAGTGGTGCTGCAAGTCTGTGCTCACAGACGTTTGGAGAATGGGGTTCATTTGGAATCCATGAAACTGCTGTAAAAACTCAGACGTACCAGAGACAGAAACCAAGAAGCTTTGCATCAATTACAGGGGGGAATCCTGACCTGATATGGCCATTAGAGGAAACACATCCCCCTTCCCTTTAGAGGCTGTAGGTCCTTCGGTGCCTGTCCAAGTTTCTTTAAGCTGCATCTCAGGGCCTCATCCCTTCATCTCTTAGGGACCACAGTTAGCTGTAATCTCCCTCTCTCGATATTTCTCAACTTTATCTAATTGCAAATGTCACCGGAGGAGTCAGTGAATTCTGATATAGCAGGTCTAGTGCCCGGCCAGGGAATCTGTATTTTTAATAAGCGGTTCAGGTGATACTTATGGTTTGGCACGTTTTAGGAAATGACATTCCCTTGCTACTCAAAATGTGATCCAGGAACCAACAGCGTTAGCATCACCTGGGAGCAAGTGACAAATGCAGAACCCCAGGCTCCAAACCAAACCTACTAAATCAAAATTTCATCAAGATCCCCAAGGGATTTGTGTGCACCTTATTAAGAAGCTCTAACCTGGAGTCCAGCTCTAATCTTAGCCCTCCAGGATTAGGTTCAGTTGGGTCCTCAGAGAATAGAATGACAAGTCCAGGTGCTATTTCAGCCAGAGGAGGTAGTACAGTGCTCCTTGAAATTGTAGTTTTGATTTAGGGTCTCTTGGGCGGGGAGGGCCAAGATCTGCATTTCAGACAAGTTCTCAGGGAAACTGATACTTGTCTGAGGACAACACTTCCGATAGAGGGTTCTTTTATATAAGACAAGTTCTAGGGAGCTCATTACTGGTAAACAAGATATAATAATCTGTCCCTGACCTTTGGAAATTCTGTAAATATCAAATAAAGATACTCAAGTCTAAGGGCAAGGAATGATGGAAGTTCTGTTGTCTGGGACCACTCAGGTTAACACTGCAGCAGTTAAACAATACCAGGAGCACTGGAAGCAGCTGGATTTAAGGATGCTGTCAAAGAAACAGCTTTTCCCCCAAGAGTTGAGGTCTCTGTCTCCATGGTACAAGGACTCGCCTGGGAGTAGATTCTATGAGCCTAGTGGGCCCAAAACAGCAGACTGGCCAAGTTGGGATAAAGCCAGTGTGGATGAGAAGAAGCTGGCAACAT